ATCGTCAGAACGAGGTGATTACATATACCAAGGCTTATGACTTCTCGCATTCGATCATCAACTTACTTCTCACTGACACTCGATACCGTTAAAACAGTTCGGTATCTTTTATGTTCGCAGAATTTATTCATCTTCATTATTCCGCGCATGTACTACGTAAAAAATTAAACAAGATATCCCGGAGATAAAACTTATATAGATCGATTTTTTCACTTTTGTGTTGATTACGAAAATTGATTACTTGTCGCGAAGGTTGCGAAGTAAATCAATAACTTCATTGCGCAGATATAAATTTCTATTGATTTCGTATTTTTAAGATTTTTCGTATCGATAAGATACTTTTAATAAACATCTTGTAAACAAATCAAACAGTTCCATTTATTAAATTAACTTATTATTGTTACTGCGATTGCATAAATATGCACATACTTATACTTATTATATTATTTGTTACATCGATGCGCGGATCAACCAAATTATGCGCTTGAGTTTTCTTTAACATATGATCTCACTCGTGCGCCTAAAGCACCCGGTGCTTATCGCTCATCACCCGATGCGCATACAGCAAGACGGTCGGAGTCATCGTCATCGTCAACAACAAGAGGATCGTTTCAGATCGTGCAACAATGCTGACGAGCTGAGCGATATCACGGGCACGTGTGTACGTGCGTGTATACGTGTTAATCTTAACAAATCGCACATGTCGTTTCCTCATGCGCGGGTTACGCAACCGTTCGTTTGTGTGTACGTGCTAGCGGACCGATATGAATAAGGCATAACGAACCTCTGACATTAAGGGGAATGTGACGATCGACGAAGAGAGACGACGATGACGGCGACAGTGACGGCGACGGTCAGCGCAGTAGGTCTCACATCGTCGTACAGGACAGCGAAACGAGAAGACAGGTAGATATGACGGGGTCTAATCATGGATCCTTTACCGGCCCACTGGCTGACCGATTACGGCCCCGAGGCGCGCGCTTGTGTTTGACTGACGGGGATTAAATTGTCGCCCCGAGAGAAGAAACCGTGCATTTTACGTCCGCCGCTGAATGTGTTTTTCGACGAACACGTCACCAGGTAACTGCGCTTTGCACGCAGATTGTGGCGTTTCAGAAACACGTGTCCTCATGCAATTCGCGGTTAGTTCGATTTAAATTCAATTCGTGTCTCGTCAGCGGAGTGCTGACGAAGCCGCCGGTCTAACAACATAACAGACAAATTGTAAATATTGTGGAATTCAGAAGTTCGCGTCGCGTAAGATGCAGTTTTATCATGCGATATTTACACGACGTCTGAATTTTTCACGTATTTTTCAATAACGTTCGGATTTTGCGAATCTTGTTTGTCTCGCAGTTGCATTAAACTTACGAAAATATTATCGCCACGATCGTTGAATAATTATTTTTAATATTTTTATCTTTATTGAGATAACGAAGTAATTAAAAAAAAAAAAAAACGAAAGACGACAGTGTGATATTATTGATAATATCATGCTATGGGATTTGGCATGAATATGTAGGCAATCCGAGAGCCTTCCGCAACATCAAATGAATTGAGGTCCTCTTTTAGTAATATTTACGAGTCAGCGCGACCGATTTGAAACACGTGGCCGTCGCGATACAACGTAGCATTGCCGAGCGACAGCCACTAGCGAGCTACACTATTTACACACGAACGATTATCACACTTGCTTCTACATGACGACTTCCGAGTGATTCGACATGCGACGCTTCGCGACAATGTAAACAAGTTTGTGACGATGATCGGCCGAGAGCTTTTTCGCGTTGGAAAACCCGGTCGTTAAATTGCATGATCGATCGTAAACAACGTGTCGTAATCAAGGTGATCGTATATTTCACGTCATAGGAAAGTCTAAATGGAAAAAGAGAACGAGGAAGTAAAGAAAGTAACGAAAGAGAAATATAAGAGAAGAAAAAAGGGAAAAATTTGTATGAAAAAAAAATTAGAAAAAGAACGAAGAAGGAGGAATAAATGATGAAAAGAAAATAAAACAAGAAGAAAGAAAAGAGAGCATATGGAATTCATTTTATTCATGCGTTGATTTAACCCATCTTTTGTTTCTATATATAACTGCAAAAATGATATCAGGCATATGTCTTATGTTCTCTTTCATCTTGTTTAATGTCTGCATCACATAATTGAAGTTATCGCATGCAAATTTATAACGCTAAAGAGAGCGGAATAATCGAGGGGCTCATATTGCCTAAAATGAAAGGAAGCTCTTCAAGTTCTTAAACATTGATTGCGCAAGCACCGTGACGTTGCGCAGAAACAGGCGACGCGGAAATCTCGTCGCAATCGAACACGCTTCCGGTGCGTGTTCTTTGTCCTTCGATCGCAGGCCGGAAATTGCGAGCGGCTTCGCTGTTGCGATTTTTCGTTGCTGGTTCTGCCGCCAATTCGTGCAACAATCAGCGTCTCCGGGTTCTTTTCTTTGCTGCATCAAGAAAGAACGTCACGAAAAACACGCAAAGCGGAACCGCAAAATCCAGTGTTTTCTTATTATCTTCCTCGCAATCGAGGAATGCACGTCGCTTTTTTTATCTCGAGAGTTTCCGATACGTTAAAATTGTTTCGGCCGAGATCGTTGTCATTTAAATAAGTTTAATTCAAATGCAAATAAATGGAAATCTTATTCTTCAGATCTTCAAGTTTCTAAATCGATAATTTGCATATTTATGCAAATTTTCTTCATAAATTTTATAAAAAAAAAAAAATTTCCATGATGGAAAATAATTTAACAATTATATTCGCGTGGCACACAATGAAGTTAATCGATTTGATGTGAATTATTCGAAAGATGATTATAACACTTTCTAAATATCCGTTCAAACAGGTCGTTGAAGAGAGCGTAGAACAAATGTCATGAAGCAGGCGCGATGGAAATTTACGCGAGGACGATCGTCGAATAGATCTACGATGCTGCTTCAAGTAGCCGCTTTAATTAGCTGAGGCAAAAAAATGTCTGCCAAAAGGAGCACCAGAGTATAATTCCATTCGCATACTCGCGGTATTTAAGGGGGGTGGGGACAGGGGGGACCAAAGAGACGACCAGGATTTCCTGGTGTGAGACAACGGCACATCGACCTTCGCATGCCGAGGTTCCTGCCTTCTTCCCTCGGGGCACTCCTCTCTCTTTCTCTTTTCTCGAGTGAGCGCCGCGTCACATTGTGCCGCGAAGAGCTTCCTCCGATTATTTTTCAAAGTGTCACACGAAAGGAAATTCTGCTAGAAATGTGCCGGAACCCGTTTATCCAATCGCGAACGAAAAGGAGAGCGCGAGTGGAGAAACCGGCGTCATTTTTGAAGAGATTTGAAATCAACTTTACGTCAACGAAAATTTAGCTTAATCGCCTTTATTCACTTTATTTCCTGTTTTCATTTACGGTATTAACTTAATCGTTAGATTATAATAACAAACGATAAGAGTGAAGAAACATATTTTATGCTTGCAAGTAGAACGTCTCTTTCACTTGTGACGTAAATCGTTGTTTTCGATATATTCAAATAGCGAAGATATTAAAATTTGATACGACAGCGTTATAATGATTGAATAATAACGAATGTCGTCGAACGTCTTATTTCGAATAATAAATCACGAGACGCATTAAATTATGCCTCTGCTATTTTTTTTTTTTTTTTATATATATATATAGAAACGCAGTAAATCGTTGTAATATCGTGGCGTTACGCACCAGTATGTTAATAATTATATTTAATCGAGTACAAGGATTATAGACATGTGATTATCATATAAATAGTATCATTACTGGGATGAGGAAGCTACGCTACTTTATATTATCATCCTAATTAAATTCTTTTTATTTAGCGTAACGTAACGATGAGCCATTGCGGAATCTTCCGCATAGTTAATGTTATTACAGATCGTAAGATATGTAGCTCTTATCCTAGTAACCGATATAAACTCATATATATCGGCCTTACTTTTACTAACAGAATAAGGATTTAATTGGAGTATCGGACAGCGATAGATCTGGAGTCATAAATGATGACAATTAAAGGGCGAATTTGCGGGAACGATTGAACGACAAGATTTTGATATAAAGCCCTAATTTGTTTCGGAATGAAACTAAGAAGAATGTCGACGTCGGTTTCGAATGCTATAAGCTTCGTTTCGCCTGTCGGGCCTCCGCGAGTCGACATCGCGAACGGAAATAGCTTCGTCGACGTCGATGGAAATACGTTATGTAAATCCGTGTTTCCTGCCGGCTTTCATTCTTATACCTCCACATTCTATGCTAATAGTCGATGAACGTCTGCGAACCGGTCGCGAAACAGTGCCGCAAAACGTCGTCATCGTCGCCGTCGCCGTCGTCGTCGCCGCCGCCGTCGTCGTTTCGTCGTCATCGTTGTCGCGACGCTTCTCAAATTGCACGACCTTGCTCGCTCTATGTTCGCACTGTAAGAAGCTAACGTGTAACTGTAATCTGGCGTTATTATCTTTCGTCATTGTACATCAGCGAGCGATCGTTACATCGCTGGCTTGTTAGACGACGTAAAACGTTATATACATCGCAAGATCAATTTTCGACGATATAGACACGGAAGATTGCACTTCACTTCGTCAATGTCGCGTCTCCACGGCCGCGAATAAATATAGAAGTCACTTCCGTGTGCCTGAAGTGCCGAAATAACGTTGACTTTGGTCTCTGTCACGTACTTGCTAAACAGAACAAACCGTAATGTGCATCCAGCAACTTACTGGAGCTATAATTATAATTTTTCTGAAAAGAATAACGTGCGGATGTTAACTACACTTCGACTGTTAAAACATAAAAATACATTTCACAAATTTGAATATATAGATTTTTACATTTAAAAATAATCGATATACTTTACGTTTATTACGAGGTGCGCGATATTTTTCTCCTAATTAACCAAATGTTTAATAACGCTAATCGATTTGTGTCTTTTTCTTTTGCAGAAGTCGCCGGTAAGCCTGAAGACGTGTTATGAAATTGGTGCCAGCGATTCAGCTACCGCAGCTACCGCCGGTTTCCGCCGCGGGCGGAATGACCGGAATGGATTCCCGGCTGCCACCGAGTATCTCGTTGCCTTTCAGTCCCACGGACTTGTTTTGGCGAGCCCAGTATGGGCATACGATGGGCTTTCCACCTTCGACGCACCCGCCACCCAGTCCTCTCTTGGACTTCAAAACTCATCTACCAGCGAGTTTAGGTAAATATTAAATTAACAACGCTCTTCTTGCATAAAAGCATAAAATCAATATTAGTTTCGCGGCGATTGTTGATTTCTACAGATTTTTGCAACCACGCTGGAGTATCTTGTGTAAAAGAATATTAGTATTTAAATCTTTTTCTTCATACTTTTAGCGTATTATAACACGAGAGATCTTGTTGGGATTAATTTATATAACAATTTATATATCCCCATATCAATGTTGTTGTTTTCACATAGCTGCGAACAAATAAATTGACTATAAACGGACGATGTTAGGCTACGCAGCGGTTACGAAGGTCACCGCGTATACCACCAATGGCATCTTCTCTCCTTTCAGCGTCCGACCCTAGAATGTGGTCGCGCGAGGACGTGGGCGCGTTCCTGCGGTGGGCCGAGCGGGAGTTTGACCTACCGCCAATCGAGATGGAAGCGTTCCAGATGAACGGCAAGGCTCTGTGCCTGCTAACGAAGGCCGATTTAGGCGATAGGTGTCCTGGTGCCGGTGACCTATTGCACAACATACTGGCCATGCTGGTACGAGACTTCAATCAGTTGCAGAGGTGTCTGCCGAGCAGTCCGGTTACGCCAACCAGGCCGTCCGCGTATCCGTTGAGCCCGCACTCCCATCCGCCCACACCGACGTGGACGGAGACGCCGTACGCTCAGAATCTCGCCTCCTTGATGTCGGCGAATTCGGTGACGCTGTCGCCGGCGCCGTCCGTCGACAGCCAATCGGGCTCGCCCAGCCACGCGACTGACGCGAATCAGACACAGGTTTATAAGAGCGACTCGGATGAAGATAACAATCATCAAGTGCCGGGAGGTAATACCAGTCCACCGGCCACGCCGACCGCCGTCGCGGCGCAGAGGCTCAGCGAGGTGAGCGTCAAGGATCAGCCCAGCCCAACGATACCGTTGATGCCATTGGCTGGCTTCCGGACGACCGCCAGTGCAGCCAGAGAGTTCTTTCCCAGCGATTCGCCGGAGCCCAACACCAGTTAGTAATTAATTTTAATTACCCACCACCCATGTTTTTGCATATAATTTAATTATATTGATCAGAATTAATCGTTCTTTCTTGGATAATGTAAACTTTGTATGGACGGCTTCTAAATTATTTTTTAATTTTCCAATTGTTTTGTTTTTCAAACTTCCTGTTTTGTTGATTTTTGAGCTATTTTGATTGAATACAAAATTTCAAGTAAGCTTTAATCTCCCCACGGTTGTTATTGTATATTGTAGCAAATTGCGCCGTTCTGTTTAGACGGAAGACTGCTCTGGGACTTCCTCCAGCAATTGCTGAACGATCCCAGTCAACGGTACACGCATTATATCGCGTGGAAGTGTCGGGAAACCGGCGTGTTCAAGATCGTCGATCCGGCTGGCCTGGCGCGGCTCTGGGGCATTCAGAAGAATCACCTGTCTATGAATTACGATAAGATGAGCAGAGCTTTGCGTTACTATTACCGTGTTAACATACTTAGAAAAGTCCAAGGCGAACGACATTGCTATCAGTAAGTGTTCCGTTATTGTCCTTGCAATTAATTAATAGTCCATGTCAATTAATAATCATTGTAAAAAATTACAAAATAAATTTATTCGATTCTGATGATTTCGTATTTTAGTAATGTCAAAATTTAATTCTGACCACTGTTATAATAATTGAAAATTTTTTGACAAATGTTGTGTGGATAAGAAATTCGTGCTTACAAATACTGTTAGATTTGTTTTGCTTGTGGCAAACAAGTTTTATTATTGATTGCAGATTTCTACGTAACTCGATTGAATTGAAGAATCTCAAGAATATATCGTCGTTGCGCCATCAGATGCGGATAAAGTCGGAACCAGAGGAGGAAGGGCCGCTTTCCGGAGGTCTTGAAACGGATCCGGAAGCGGACATGCCGACAGACCTCTCGATGTCCAGTATGAACCAGCCATCGAGTGAACCGCAGCAGCCCCTGCCGCTGCACGACCCACCTGCGAAGTACAGAAGTCACGCGTACAACCTCGTTAAGACCAATCAGGAGCCGGAAGAGAGGAAGTGACGCGGGACCTAGCGATGGCAGGAACGCAATGATCGCGCGTAATCATTAATCGCGCTGAGTGCCGGCGGCAAAGCGACCTCGACGTAAGAGGGGGTCCAGTATCGGCAACCGATCGACGGATTGCAGAATGAGATCGGAGAGCATATGAACATTTACTCCGTTCGATTCGTCGATTAATGAGATGATATTCTCTACGCAAAGACAAAAAAGGTCTTTAAGATAAAAATATGCGGAATCCGAAAAGCGAATGACGGTGAATTCGTCAACGAAGATCAGAAAGACGATGAAGAGGGAGTCTAATCGAAATCAGTGGTTGACAATGGAGAATGGCAAAATATGAGAATGGCTCAGAGTTTTGTCGAACGCAATCGTTAATTAAGAGGACGTTCGAAACATGATGGTTGGTTCGTATGAAGCGCAACACAACACCGTTACGATCTTTAGGCATGTTACGGAGACTCTTTGATGAGAGTAATTGTCGGAATAGGAATAAGAATAGGTATAGAGGAAAAGAAATGGGCATATTCACGTTTATCTAATTCGCAGAATCACATTGACGCTCCAAAGATGATCTTCGAGGGATCAGAAATCATGAAATTTTGTGCTCCCCTTTCCGTCTGTCGAGTATTTGAAACATACAATTCTCTGTACTTTCGTCATTATGTGCAAGAGTGTGATAAGATGCGTGGGAAGAAAGCGCGCTTTGCCAATATCACTTCACAGCGCGATCGGATAACGATTTGCTCCTACCCTCCATATGGATTCACCATTAAGTCGTTGTGCGCCGATAATGATAGACGCTTCGATCTGAAGCTCGATCTTCGCGGATATTCCACCCCATATCCTCTTTCACATCCCCGTCCTCTTCCCTTGTAACGGAGCAAACTATCGACGCGAATTGTCGGGCAATTTCCTTTCCGCTTTTACAACGACGAATTGCGTATAAAACGCTGATGTATATGAAACGGACTTATGTACGCTTAAAAATACTATATACGAAGATTTAATGTACAAAGAATGCCAGAGGGAGAACTGTTACCAGGTCTTTCCTTTCTTTAGCGTCTCTCTTTCTTTCCTTTTTATTAATTTTAAGAACATGTTCTGTGATGTGACTATGTTTTTTTTCTTTTTTGCGAAACAAGTAGCCCGTGAATGAGATCAATCCCAAAGAGAGACTCGAAACTTGATTTGAGACATTCGTGTAAATGCATCACAGAAGAATTACGTTACAGACCTTTCCGAAGTATAAAGAGCTTGATAAAATCTTCCCGCGACAGTTTAATAACATTTTTACATATGTCGACTCTGAGAGAGAGAGAGAGACTAAATGGAAAGTTTAATTGGATTTTCTCAAGCTCTTGCTACTCTTGTACGCTGAAACGGTTCTCCACTACTTTGACGTATTTGTGCCAAGAACATTTGCCGTTTAATAAGAGAAGGATTAATGTATTTAGTCGTACATATTTAGTCGACCGTTCCAAAAGACTCGGTATATCACGATTTTGGAACCAAGTATTGTATCGTTCGCTCTCGGTACACGCAATATATCCAAGACGCACCGAGTATCGTGTAATTGATTGTACGCTGTAGGAAATGTATGTAATTGAACTAATTATTTGGATTTAATGATTTGTAAATGGAAACGACATATAAGATGATATTAGAAGATTAGTAAAAGAAGTTTATGGAAATTCGGGACCACATTTAGAGTATATAAATTTATCTATAGAAAAAATATATATATACATATATTTTACTATCAAAATTTATATTCGAAATTTCTATGTTTGTTGCCGATGCGATTGTGGCTTACATTCCACGACTCTTTATCCGATGATTGTTTAGGTGGTAAACGTGAAAGTCACGCGAGAGGAATAAAAGCAAGTAAACAAGACGTGTATACAATTAGGAAACAGGTTTTAAGAAGATTACTAATTGTATTTTTGCACTTGAGAATATAAAACTGAGAAAGTATGAGAGACTTGAAGTATGAATGTGAGAGAGAAAGAGAATGAATTTTGTCAAACGAGTATATGTCCGTATTGTGAACTCATCAGGACCAGACAGTCCGTATATGTATATCGTAAACTATACTCAATTCAGTCTTATTCTAATCGCATGTGTACAAGAGAAAGTAGAAAAGTAAATTAACTTTTTGACTTAACTTCGTAGAATGAAAATGTTTTCATTCATAAACGCATCTTAATTCTACTCATATTTGTATAGTTATGCAAATATGAGTAGTGGGGAAAAAAAATGCAAAACATGTGCACCTTGCGAATATTTGATAGGTTCACAATGTGGTCACTCGATTGTATGGATAAACGACACGCTGAGGAATATAATCGGCTTCTTGTATACTGTGATCTCTATATTCTGTAATTCAAAGGAAATATTGCATAGTTAAAATTAGGTATTAATATCTAGATGAAATGCGTGTACATCATGCACATCTAGATGAGACGTTTGCTTAGGAGAAACGCGTGATGTTATCAAGATAAGAGAAAGATATATATGTACATCTTTTTTGTTTACGGTCGTGTAAATAAATTTTATGTGGACAAATGTTCAGAGGAACGATGATTTATATATAAATAAATAAATATAAATATACGATATATCTATAATAAGCATATATAAAAATCGATTAAATAATAATGCGTCTGAGGTGAGAAAAGTTTATATATCGTTTCGCGTGTATAAAAAGGAACTGTAAAATTTTAGAGATTAGAACGGTTTTATTATATAACTTGTTATGAAGAGTACACGAAATGAATGTTGTAAATATAGACTTATTTAGTTATTAAGAATGTGCGAGTACTATTCCTTTAACTCATCCAATATACAACCTGCTAAAAATAAATTTTTATCACAAAGATAATAATCGTCAATATATTTATGAAATATATTTCAACATGAGAACATTTAATTAGCTCTCTGAAAGCATTTGAAGTTCTGCATCAATTGTCATAGGTGTAGTTTTTATAAAAATGATTTTTGAAAATATTCCACTTTAAAATTCTTGATGCTTTTAAAACAGAAATATTTTCCATGCAAGCATAAACTATTCTCCAATTGCAAATGTATGACAAAGTACTAGAATAGAAGAAAATGCTTTTTCTATATTGAAATCTTTATTAAAAAGGAACAAGATGCTTAAAAATATTTAAATGTACACGCTTAAATCTAAGACAGGTACTATTTATTGGAACAATATAACCTCATCTGCGATAATAGTTGTGCTGGGATGAGTATTTCCTTCGTCATCTTTAAATTCACTGTAATTTAACTTGCCATTTACCAGTACACGCTGACCCTTTTTCAAATAATCATACACAGAATCCCTTAAACCAGGTTTGAAAATACATATCTTATGCCACTCTGTTTTCTGCATAAACTTATCTGTTAAAAAATAAACAAACATATAATAATCATGTTTATTAATACTATCATTCATTTTTAAAAATCACAATTGTTCAATTATATACCTGTGTCATATTTATAATTTGTATGTGTTGCGAGAGAAAATATTACAACTGGATTCTCTGTGCTTCCTCGTTTCTGTGGATCTGCCCCAGCTCTTCCAAGTAAAGTTACTTTATTTATAGCTACAATAAAATTACAGAATAAAATTTTATCTTTTTGTATATAAATAAAAATATACATTGTTCTAATAAATTTTTTTAGTGTTGTAGAGATTATAATTATATATACGCACTTTTTAATATCTCAAATAATTCTCTAATACAATTATGTACTTACTCTTTTCTACCTTTGTGGTCTCGTTCATTTCTTCCGATAAAAATCGTATATTATTTAGTCTACCGGCTTGATTGCGCACTTGTAAAATAACCTAAAAATGTCGATATATAAAGTAAAATATATGCTTTAATCTCAAATAATTTTACCTTTTATCTACATATAGTTATGATAATGTTACTTACTTTGCGAAACATCGTTAGATTTTTTGTAAATTATATTTCTTTATCAAAAAAGTTACAAATAAGTGGATAGTATAAAAAATACAATATGAATACTAAACAGACACTGCCGCAAATCAGTGTCGCCAGCGTGCATATCTGGGCTCCACACGCAACAACGGAGACCACGTCCGTGTGCGTTCGGCTCAATAGGAACGAATCTATACTTACTACGTCTATGACCAGAGAGAATGCTATGACTGTAATGAAGTGGCGGTAAAAGTTTGATTCTTTCTGTGCTTTTTGTTGTCTTAGATGTATAATATTATTATATTGTATATTTTTATAGAATTGGATAAGCAATAGAAATTTAAAAGTTGTTTTCTTTTTCTGTGTGGGATCAAATAGCTTAAACGTCTATGAATATACACTCATTGTTTCAGAACTGTATTTATCAGTATAATAGTTCAAAATATTTGAGATATTTCAGAACATAGTCGATATTTATTGTTAATCAATTTTTTACATGTTTTCTTTTTTTTATTAAAATATTTTAGCAAAAGTAAGTTAAGTGAGGCAAACACAGAGAAAAGTGACATTGAATACAAATTTATTTAACAATTTTATTTGATATCTGTGTTAGAATTCAGCAGATGTATTGGATAAAAGTTAAAAATTGTAGAAACTTTTGTTTATTCTTGGAAATAGAATAAGAAGTGAAGTTAAATGTTGTCATTTGCCTATATATCCTTTCTATTCTATTAATATTTGAAATACATTAAAATTTGCGCAGCCACATTATAAATTAAACATGAAAATTTATGATTATATCATATCTGTATTTATAAAAAAATATTGTTTGCTACTGAATACTACTCCATTTTTCATCATTACGTACAATCACAGTTTTTATTTAATACATTTGCTGAATTCTTACAACAAAGATTACGCCAGCGATTGATTCTTTATTACTCGTCTTCATCGCGAGCACCACTGGGTGGAGCCTTCGGGCCACCTGCTCGTTTTGCCATAATAATTTGATCTACTTTAAGAACTGTGCATGCTGCACCAACTGCATACTTCATCGCCCATTTCTTCGTCAAATATAAGTCCAGGATTCCTGCCTCAACGGTATCAATCAGGGCTGCACCACCATTCTGCAATATAATTTGTAATATATAAATAATACTATAAAAAAATGACTCAATCATTCACGTCTAGTAGTCATCCATGTAAATGTTAGAATCTTAGAGTTGCGAATCACAATCAGTCATACAAATCGAACACATATTAATGCATTTATATTGTTTACAGGAATATTGATACTCAAAATGTGGGAAATAATACGTACATCAATATCGAAACCATGGTTCTTCTTTCCTTCTTTATGCGCGGCGTAAAGTTTCGACAGAAGCTCGGATGCATGAACGCCAGTGCTCTCGGCCAGCGTTTTGGGAAATACCTCTAAAGCAGTGGCGAATTTGCGCGCGGCGTATTGCTCCAGACCAGGTAGCGTGTCAGCATACGACGCCACCTGTGCGGCCAGTTCGATTTCCGTAGCACCTGCGCCTGGGACAAATTTGCCATCTTTGGTAATGCCCTTGAAAGTGTTAACACCATCGTTAATTGCGCGCTCAATATCGTCCATGTAATTCTCGGTGGAACCGCGCACAAGCACAGTGCTGACGCGGCTCTCCTTTCCCTCCAATTTGAATATCACCACTATAGTATCCCCCAGCTCGTCTATGTATACTGTATCAGCGTATCCCAACTCTTCTTTCGACGGAGGCACCTTTGAGAGAAAATATCGATTACTGTAATACCTTATTTTAACATTAGCATATGTATTGATTACAAGTTGAAAAATCATCATCAAATCCAAGATACATATACAAATAAAGGCGAATAAATTTACCAGCTTTGAGAGCGCTATGGCGCCGACAGTCTTGCATAATCGCCTGACGTCAAATTTGCTCGGAATCCGAACAGCCATCAGATTGTACTTGTTCATGTAGTGTAGAGCCATGTTTCCAAATTTTCCGCCGGACACCACCACTTCGGCGCCGCTGTCAGCAATAGCTTTGATCTGAGTCTCCAGCAGCGATTCCTCGCCACGCGAGAATTTCAACAACTCGTCGGCTGTCTTTATCAGCACGGTGCCCTTGGTCTCAGTCTGAGTGATGTCCACGGCGCAAGTGTAAACCGCGATCTTTGCGCTAATCTTCTTCGTGACTTCTCCTTCTACCTGACGCTTAAATACCATGCCTTGCACCACTTGAGAGTTGTTCAAGCCACTTCCAAGTATTTTGCAAACTCGTACATTGTCGACATTAAATGCTGTTTCCTCCGGTAAGATGGCAATACAAGCCCGAGTGACAAGAGAAGCGAGAAAATCCTCATTTCCATATTGTTTGCTCATAATAGCACTCCTGATTCCCTTTTTAACTTGGTTTTCATCGCGTACATCATCTATCTTCTGAACAATTAAGGTAGGTAAAATTTCAAGTGCTTTGTCTAAGGCACTTTCGTAGCCTTCAACAATTTCTGAAGTTGTAATCCCCTGTAATTAAAGAATTAAAATACAATTATATGTACAACTCATACTTATATACAACATTTTATGTAGGATAAATGCACTCAATAAAGTTATGTAGCTGCAATTTATATCTCTAAATATAAGAATATATAAAGATAATATATCAGAATATATTAATCTAACAAAATATTATAAAATCAATGTACCAGGCGAAGAAGTTCTTCCGCAGCGTGAAGCAGTGCTCCAGCAAAGATAATAACAAAGTTTGTTCCATCTCCTACTTCAGCTTCTTGCATTTTTGATGCTAAAACTAATAGCTTTGCAGCTGGATGTTCCACTTCCAGTTCATTAATAATTGTTGCTGCATCATTAGTTACAAATAGTTTTTCAATGTGATTGATAATCATCTTATTCATGCCATTAGGACCATATGCACTTCTTACAGTATCCGCAAATTGTTTGCAGGCTGTTATGTTCCTGTAAACCGCTTCTTCAAGGCCAGAGAAATACTGAAAGCACAAAATAATAAATCATCAAAATACAGAAGCAACAAAATTTAGTTTGAAAAATTATAACATCAAGATTTTTATTATTATTTAATGACCAAATTGAATCTAAATTTTCTAAAAGAAAGCAAGACATATTTCAGGTATAATTTAATGTTTATGTGCCAAATTGTTTTGTTCTAGGATCAAGTATGCTATATATCTAAAATGTCCATAAAAGGCAAGGACTGATTCTTCGTATGTCCTTTCAGGGAAGGAGCATCATCGGTTAATGGAACCGCGTGACAATACATTTGCATGCACGTGGATACTATGATAAAAAGACACTTACGCGGGCCCCATCCTTAAGCATCTGCGCTACACCAGGCGCTTTCGGTACGTGCATAGCCATTTTTGTCAGAAATTTCGAAAGATCGCTTTTCCACGTGTGACTAACACCACAATTGACTACGATCTCGTTTCGCTTGAATGCGATGCAGTTGAGATTTTTCGAGACTGTGTCCGTGCTAGGGAAATTTATTCCGGCTAAAGCCTTTACAGACTCGTTTTCAACAGCGATTCTTTAGACATGCTAATTGGTTGTAACATAGGGAAATTTGTGGATAATTCCACAGAAATGCATTGACAGCCAATCAACAGCTCATGAACATATTTTACGTCAAGTGTGAAACCGCCTTAAGGGATCGGCACAGGAAGAATAAAGTTTGCTAAAAATATTGAGGAAGTGTGGCTAAAAGGATCAACGAGAGTCTTTCGAGGACGACACAGAAGAATCGAATTAAGTTGTTTGAGGTCTAGTTTTGCGGTTTATAAAAGTGAGATTCTAGCGTCGGACGTCTAAGTCCAGGTAGCCTTTAATTCGTAGTATATTTTCCTTTAGTGTGTACCTCTCTGCTTCTTCCTGTCAAGAGTTCACACGACGATTTTCTGATTTCTCTGTCATATATACAGCTGTTATGGACATGGTGATCTCGAATTTGCAACAGCAGCGTCAAGTGACGGAGCAATTGCGCCGTGAAGCCGCCTTAAAACGGATCACGGTGAGCAAAGCCGTCGAAGACATCATGAAGTACATCACCGAACACGAGCAGGAGGATTGTCTGCTGGTGGGTTTCTCATCGCAGAAGTCCAATCCCTTTCGTGAAAAAAGCACCTGTATTGTACTTTAAGCCTGCGTGCTTGAAATCAGAGGAGCAACATGAGTGATAATACCACTTTGAGCTTCCTGTGTGTTGATTTGATGCGAGGATAAATGTATTTACAATTGTAGGTATAAGTAAGTTTCTAATTAAATTATTTTATGATGTATCTTTAAGATTGTCTGTTGGAAATGTGCAGAATCAGATTTATCTCGACATATGCTATTTTAAGAATGTATTTTACACAAAGTTTATATAGTTTTCAAAATCTACAGGGTTAGAATTTCATGAGCTATATATATAGAAATTTACACATGCCTAACTTTTGTATAATCTTACCAAAACTTATAACAACAGGTTTGGACACTGAACAATATATTTTTATATACATGTAAAATCTTAATACATTTCTAAAATATCTTTATATATATTTATATGTATATTAAATTGTCCAAATAATTAATATCTAGGTGCCACGATTAGTCTTCATTTTTCAAGTTAATATTATTATAATAAAACATTAAAAATTTTAACAATAGTTTTAGATAACAGAAAATGAAATATTGTCTCAAGAACTAATATTAATTCTTAATGTGTGCTCAACTAAATTTTTATAGTATATAAAATGCGCATTGATTGTAAATCAGTCTTCTAATATGCCTTCATCAAGTGCCTATATCAAGATTAAAGACTGGTAATGAAACAATATAACGCTTACACAAATTTGTAATATCAGAATACTTTGTTACTTTAAAAATAATGGAAATTTAACATACAGGTTCATAGATAATTTATTGTCAAATTTTATTGTCAAAATATAAAATATGTTTAAAAACAAAAGCATTTTTGTGTGTGCATATTTACTGAACAATTTTAAAAACTCCTCTACTATAAAAATAAAATCTGTGTTTTAAGTAACAAAATGTTATTTTTATATATTATCAAAATTTTACATATTAATTTTACAATCAATATTTTACATATATTCATATTTATATAAAATAATTATTATGCCTTATTAGTTTTTTTAGGTCTTTTCGCTTTTGATGGACCATCGGATCTGTTTATGTCGGGATACATATTCTTAAACTCAGGCATTAAATCTGCTGCTTTCTTGTAGGCTTTTAAAACTGAAAACAAAGAACAAACTTATTAATTTGATATAAATTTATATATTAAAGTAATTTTTGCAAATTTTTTTCTGTGTGTATTTATATATTTTTCTTAATTTATTTGATATACAATATTAATATTACTCACAGGATTGCTCGATGGAATCGATTGGCGGAGGACCAGCTTTCTTATCTAGAGCTAATTTCTCTACTATTTGTATTTGACATTCCAAGTTGTAGGATCTGAACATATATGGATGATAATTTTCAATGTTGAGCTGATTGATGGCTTTTTTCCACAATTTGACTTCTTTATCGGATACCCGATTTTGCGTATCATAATAATATAGTGCTTTACTCTTATCTCCTATGGTTCCTAAAGCATATAATTATGCTTACTTCAGATATGAAACATTCGAAATATATTGTTGCATTATTATGTAAAATGCAATAAGAATGTTGATTTCGATAAAACTTGATTAGTTGCTTTGCTTAAGGGTTTTGTTTGCAAGCATTTACGTTTCCTAAAAATATGTAAAATTATGCAATAATGTTACAAAAAAATGATATACCTTGGTACGCAATTTTTGATAGATAAAAACCACCCAATTCAGCATTTGGAATCATGTAGCAGAGATTGGTTTGTGTATTCATCCGCAATGTGAATGCGCAAACAATCATTTTTCCTTTAGCAGCACATTTGTTTAATAAAGCGCCAAAAAACAAAAGATTATCTGTAAAGAGTAAAAAAAAACAATTACAATTTATTTTATTACATAAATGTTATATTATGAATTGAGTGTGTCATCGCACATATTCAATTTTTATATATTTTAATATCTTACCTTTACGAGTGCTACTATAATCTGCTCTGATAAAATACTTTCGCTTAACATGATATCTAAAGAGATCATTGGGTATAGGCTTTATGCCTATAACCTTTATACCTGGTGGATATAAATGTTTTATTCTGGAAAGCTCCTTTTGGAGGAAATGTAGTTTTTTACCACCAATTAACTCCTTAGTTTCTTGATGAAGGTCCTCTGGTATTATAAAAGGTAATTCCTCATTATCACTGTTGTCCTGTAAGAAATAAAATAAATAAAACATTTTAAAAGGATAAAACTTCAAAAAAAATTTGATATACATAAGAAAAAATTTGGAACATTTGATGTGTACATTTTAAACAATTCTCAATTATGCAAAAAATATTCAAAAAATATGCACCTCCTCGTAAGAATCTTCGTTCTTGAAAAATGTTGATCTCGATAAAACTTGATTAGTTGCTTTGCTCAAGGTTTTTGTTTGCAAGCTTCTACGTTTCCTAAAAATATGTAAAATTATGCAATAATGTTACAAAAAAATTAAAATCACTATTATTAATATAAAAATTTACCTGCCCAGAGTACGCACAACCAAATCAAGTTCCAGACCATCACACATCTGGAAACATAAGCGGGCGATATTCTTGGATGGTGCTTTAATCTGTTGCACCAGGTCTACTAACGATGTTGTTCTATAAACATCTACCTCTATTTCTCTTGAAAGTATTTCTAAATCTTTGTAAAATTGAGCGTGCAATTCTTCCCAATTTTTTGTTAAACCAATGACATAGAATTTAATGTCTAAATTTGCTTTTATGATACGCATGATACGTTGTTTTTCATCATCTGCGAATTTAGGAGTATGACAAGTGATCAAAACTATTCTGCGCTTGGTAAGGACTGTTTTTATCTTTAAGAAGATATCCATGGCATATGACAGTGCATCACGAAGTGGATATACATCTTCAGATTTCATACTCTGTATGCCCTTCAAGCCATTTTTTGCTGCGAAAATGATTGTAATCTTAGAAAACTGTCAGATAAAAAGTAGCTGATATTCTTTAAGTACACTACGTTTATGACTAATATACTTGTAGTTGTTATTACTTAGTTTTCTGATTTGTTGCAAATCATCCAATGTGACAGCTTTCAGTTCTTGCAAGGAATGAAGATTCTTCCATTCTGGATCTATATTATTTTCTTCAGTACCAAATAATACTACACCCATCCAATCTTGCATATTCCATGCTAGTTTTTGTCGAAGAATTTGCTTATAGAGCTAAAAGAATAATGATTAATAAAATAATAATAATTATTTGTATAATTGTTATTATCATAACATTAATAAAAATAATGTGCAATATATTTAACCTTAAAAAACTTTTGGATATGACTGCGCTGGGTTTCTGGTTCTATCTCAAACATTTTTGATGTTGCATCAACAAGAAATAATGTAGCTTCTCTCACTCCATACCATTGGCTTGCTTGCAGATCTTCTTCCTCATCCATATTATAATCTTGGATATCAAGTGCCATTTTTGCTATCAACGCTATCAATACAATTTGTCAGTATTTTATTATCAACACCTTTTTACTCACCTGTTCAAATCGTGTATAGAAACAGTTTCGCCATGGTTCAAGTAACATGCTTGAGAGTCGTCTGATTTTCTTACAGCAAAATACCTCCAGAAGCCACAAGATGCCGACACAATTAATTTTGTGCGCCTGTATGTATAAGTTTAAAAATATACGTTTAGTTAAACAGATAAATAGCAATATATATATATTAATTTATCTTATTAAATATAATTTTGATAACTATAGAAATTGTATTTTTTTCCTTAAAACGTGAATTTGTTTACATAGGTATTGCTCAGAAAATATGAAAGCAATAAAAAACTATTAATATAATTTTATATGATATAAATTATATATATCTCTTAGTAGTTAGATTACCTTTTTAGTTTACTCAAATAAATATTTTGATATATCAACTATCACACATCTATCACACTTGTCAGTCTTGAGTTTTAAAATATGTATTTTAGTAAACATTAACAAAGATAAACTACAAACTAATATTAATTTTTTAAAGACTAATATTCTATATATTTTTATCTGAGTATAAGGCATAAATGTAATAATAATGCTATTAATATTTGTAGTATTAATATTAGAATACTAAATAACACTAAGCTATATTGTTTGTGAACACAGTTTTATTATTAAAATACTATTTCCATTTAACAGTATTATTAAGTAGAAAATGAAAATTAGTTTTGTATTACATTAAACATAATAAATGTTGAGAATTGCTTTACAAATATGTGAAAATATAGTATTTGTTATTCCTTAATGATATGTCATATCTTGGTCTTTCATAAACTTAGAATATCTATATATATCACACACTAAGCATACTTATATATTAATTACTATGTATCTTATCTAATTTATCTATTAATTACTTATATCTTATCAAATTTTTTTTATAACTTTTAATTATTTTTATCTATCTTGTTTATGTTTTAATCTGTAACTTTACTTAATCTAGAAGAAAATAGTCGTATTATCTTCAAAACTCTGTTAGCATGAAGTCATAGCTCTTGCAGCGTGGACACTGAGCATGGTCGTATAAAAAAACAATCTGTACAATAAAAAATACATAATAATAATTATGATATTAATAACATGCCTTATGCCTGCAATGGCATTTTTATTTTTAATCTTTGAATTAAAAATTATTATGAAGTATACATTATATTAAGAAAATAAAATAAATGTTAAAGCAATATTAGTATATTAACCTTAGGATGTTGTGGACAAGGGTATCTCACTCTTCCTTTAGTCCAAAATCCACAACCATTGCATATAATATTAGAATGTGGTCTATAACAAATACATTCTGATGTATTTGTATTTGGAGAACTTTTTGTAAGAATTTTTGCATTGTTCTTCATGATGTACTCATGTGATTCCATATTTTTTTAATTATACAAAATTCAGAAGTACTGAAACTAATAAATAGGATTATATATCATCCAGCATAAAGTCATATCTCATTTCACTTTTTAAATTAAGTAATTAAGTTGCACGATTAAATTAAGTGGTTATTTGTAAGATCGCGTTGGTATGCAAACAATAGAAATATTGTAATTTTTATAAAAGTAAATATAAAATAATTGAAATTTACGTCCTACAGGAAAACAACGATGACAATGAACATGGTAGTCAGTTCTGAGAGGTTTGATTAGATCGACATAGATCGAAGATTTCAATCACCATAAATTATTCTAATTAATAGTAAGAGAACAATAAAATAAATGGCTTACCTGAATAGACACAATATGTATACCCCCGCAAACTGTGAAGTTCGGAATCTACTGTCCACTGGCCTACGTGCTTCCTTTAACTTTCATACGTCTTCTGAATAAGGACGAAAACAAAACAAACAATAGAGCGAAGTATGCGCCGCAACTTTTTCGCGCATCGTTTTCCGCTCTATCTAGTTCTGTTATGAAGTTCAAATCATAGATGCATTATGTGACGGTTAGGATTTTTAATAAAAAATTGCATTAAAAGTAGTGTTAAGTTAGAATATATCACGGCGTGTATAATGTGTGGTTTCTATAAAAAGTTTGGTGAACTACAAAGAATAAAAGGATTCAGAATTAGAAGGATCAACGATCGAAAGAGAAGGACAATCGAATTTATTGGAGATTGGAGGTTATGCAAGTAAGAAAATCAGAAAAAGGTATGTTTAGATCTAATTAATGTATTTTATATTTTCTCGCGTATATACAAAAACATATACGTGATTGTGTAATTACAGTGTTCCGATGTAATTTCTCTCGTTACACTTTCGATATCGTATGATAATTTTTGACATTCTGTAAAAATAACGACAATTAAATCCATACATAATCAGATAATATTAATCGTTATTTCTTTCATTCTCTCGTTGAATTGCTATTATGCGTTTTTAACAATTTTGAAAAACTTTGTATTAAGTCGAAACACTAGCACATACAAAAGGAATTTATTCAACGTTACATTCTATTCTCATTTTACATCGTTTTATATTCTATATAACTAACACGTATTTTTTCGTTTTATCCAAATTCGTTCTTTGATTTTCTTAGGCGAATAAAAGACCATTTAGTACGGATTTTCTCTTCTAAGAGAATAGAGTTTAGTTTATTCTTTTCTCGATCAATATTTTTTTTGACATGTCGACTTCGCATTATTTTTCATTGCGATGAAAATCGATATATATCTCTATCTTGTAATTGTAGAAGGAAGGGTATATGCGACTCTTTTTCGATCAGGGTCGTATTATGTATCGAGAGAGAGAAAGAGAGAGGTTTCCCTCTCACGCTTAACATCTATATATATAAACAACAATAAAGATATTTCATAAAAATATATCAGTGCCTGTCACTTCCGTGAATACTGGAGTTTCATTCTTACAGAACTTGTATTGTAACGGTGTCCCGTGTGAAAAGTTACAAAATTTTAGTGCTACAATAAATCTCTGTATCTTGTCGTAAGATAACGGTCAAGCTGTGAGATATATTTGAGGATATTTCTAGAAGAAAGTATTTTTTTTATAATGAAGTATGATTTAAAAAAATATCAACTGAAAAATTATTGCCGTTACGTTACTGCAAGGCATCAGAGAGCTGAAAAAAAAATCAGAGCTGAAATCAAAACGCTGTATTTATTTATAATTTGCACATCGTATGGAAGACAAATCGCAAGATCAGTCAACGTGAACGCGAGAAAAAATAAATATTCTCTTTTTTTTGGTTGCCTGCACTCGTCTACATTTGTGTGTCATAAAATTTTCCTTCATATATAAGCTTTGATTTTTAAATAACTTCAAGTTCACGGGGACACCGTTTAGGTACATGGAGTATATAGGAAACTTCACTTCTTGAAAAATGTATTGTAAGAGTATATGATAAAAATAATTTACATTTACACATGATTTTTCTCTCGGATATCTTACGTATAAAAGTACTTCGGTATTTAATTGGCATTTAGTTGCGAGCATCTCGCGTCTCGTAGATATTCTCGTCGTTCGAGCTAGCAAAGCGATTTTTACAGCAGTGTGATATAAAAGTTAAAGATCTTCATGAATTTCTCGCGGAAAAATCGAAATGTCAATATTTGTGCAAAATAATAAGTGATAGTTTCGGAACTTTTATATTCCATGGAACGATTGTGCATCTAACGCTAGGTTGTTCTTCGAGATTTATACTTCTGCATAATCTTTGGTCCTTTCTTTCCATTTGACCAGCTATCTCCCTCTTCTGTCCGACATCCTCCACTTTATCTTGCGCGTTTTGATTTAGCATAATAAAATACGCATTTCTTTTTATTTTAGCATAATAACATATAATTTTGTGAATTGCTATTCATATCGTTGTGAGTAAAAAAAAGTTACTACGCAGAGAAAAAATTTTTATATAAATAATTAAATTTTCATTTCTTTTTTGACACACGTCACAAATGTTGAAATAATTTTAAAAATATTCATGTTAAAATAAGTTCGCGCAAAAATGGGAGGCAAAGCGAAAATACATTTCTCAGTAAGATTCGCTGGCTACGTAAAATATCATCTTATCAGCGCGTTACATTAAATTTTAGCAAACCTACATTTTGCTAAAAATATTCCAATAAATATTTTGCAATATATTTACGATCTTTATCAGTGAACAAATATATCATCTTTCATCAGGTACAGAAGCTATAACAGCTCACAAGTTTAACTTGATGACATCTGCGAAACGTGGGACTTGATACAGTTCGCTTGGCACGCGGTTCTGATTCACAGAACTTCTGAATGACCGTCTGATTCGCGGATCGATTCGCAGAATATAAACGCAATCGCACGGTTGTATTCACACGTACGATGCAATTACAGGCAAAATGCTTGGACCGCACAGAGAGAACTTCCCTTTATATCTCGATACAACAAATACTAATTTACATTTGAGGCGGAATATTATTTATGCGGAGCGCGATTTAATTCGGATAAATCGACAAACGAATCACTCTCTTGCTTAAATTATTTCATATCGTTAAAATGGCGATTCTGTTCTAACATCGCGAAAAATTCAGCACCGCTCTCTTACATCAATTATGTCTAGCAACTTGAACAGCCATAGAAACATTAATCGCACAATTTTCTCTTATTAAACGATTTCTTCAAAGACACGCCGCATTATTAGTACAACTTTAAATATATCTGGTTTTGTTTTCATTGGTTCTTCCATTATTTATTACAATATAATGTCCGTGTTTTTTTTATATATATATAGCACCACGTTTTTTATATAATGCTGCTTAATTAAACCCGTCTTTAATCAAGAACACCAAGTTTTGTTTTCAAGAATTTAAATGCAATACGATGAATTTTAGAGATTGAGAATGTTAAATTCATATTTAATATAAGAATATGAGTATATGAGAATATGAATATTAAAGAAAGAAAGTATGGAGAAGTGTAGAAGCGTAAACAAAGAGTTTTAAGTACATCTTAAGTGATTGAAAACGAACACATTATCTCAATGGAAACTTAATGTCAATCTTAATTATTAAATATTGAACATTGTAAATTACCGAACGACGATTATGACTTCCGTTTCATTCGCGTTAAGTTCCTCCAAGAATAAAGTTCAATGATTTGCGAACATTTGTACGAAATACTTTGTACACAATGACGAAAGAGATCTGCGGATTCCCGTTTCTGTTCCGCGAACGATTCACACTCTGACGCCGACGCCGTTGTCGCTCTTGATCTCCGACACGACGTCGAATGTGGGGGTGCAGATGTCGGTGGGCGTGGGGATGGCGAGGGGTGCCAGTCGCGGATTCCTCTTGACCGGTGGATCCTTCAGGATGTAATTCGTGCAGGGTCGAACGCGCAATCGGCTCGAGTGCACAGCCGGCTCCAGTCTGAGAATCGCGCAGGAACGCGTCGACAGCTGCCTGGCGGTGCGATGATGCACCGACTCGGTGGATCTGCTCTGTAGAGTCGCCTCGAACACGCATCTCTTCAGGTTCATCGTCGACATCGAGTTGTACGCCGACGTGTTGTTGTCGCGTTCGGAATCGGGCGTGTAATCGGGCGTAAAGACCGGCTCGGTCTCCTCGAAGGACGTGAAGATGTCGGAGTCGGGCACGGACGGCGCGCTGAAGAAGGATTCGCGTAGGGACGATGTCAGGGCGTCGGGGCACATGAATGGGTCCAAGGACGTGAGGTCGTTGAGATCGCTGCCGCTGTTGCAGGTTTGAAAATCGTTGACCGAGTAGGATGACGGGAACGTTTGGTGCTCCGTCACGTTCGACAGGACCTCCTGGCTTCTGGACGATTCCGACCATTTCGAATCGGACGGTCGTCTCGAGCTGAACCTGGTGGAATCGTGTTCCGCGAAAATGGGTTCCGGTAATCTCGCGTCTTTGCTCCTGTCGGAGTTCTTCAGCAACGCTTCGAACAGATCGATCGGCTCCAACGTCGGCGTGTTGCTGAATGGAGGATCGTTCGTCTGGCCGTCGTTTCGCTCGAGCGGCTCGCTGAAGTCCTCGATGTTGAGCAGTACGGTTGGTATCACCGGATCCGAATGTCTCACGGGACTGCTCTTCTTGCCGAGGGGCGACTTGACGCGCTGCGTGACGACTTGGACGGCGGGTCTTGGTATCCCGAGACTCTGCGCCTCCTCGTTTTGGAGTAAGGTCGAGGGCAGAGGATCTATGGGACTCGGCGGTTCCGAGTGTATCGTCGGCACGATCAGGGAATCCATCAAGTTGGAAGGCTCAAGTAGGGTCGCGCGGCGCGTCGTCGGATCGATCGTGTTGATCGACTCGGAGTGCTTCAGCATGTCCAAGTTTCTACGAGTTTGTGTCACGACTCTGGCAGTATGGTCCGCTTTATGCGCGCTCCTCGGCGGCGGATCTAGGTTAATGAGATTCGCCAATTTGTTGGGCGTGATAGTGACATGCGGCACGCTCGGTGATGCGCTTCGCCGGGGAGTGCTCAATTCGGAAGTCGGCCGGGCGCTGTTCGGCGCCGACGACGACGACGCGGAGAAGCCGCTTCGTAATTTGAGCTTTAGATTCGGGCTCATGCGCCCGAAATGACGGAATTTCGGTCGCGGATGCGGCGAGGCCTTGCTGGACCTCCGTTGCTCCTCTATCTGCCGACAAAGCATCATCGCGTGCCTCGCCAGCGCGGCCTCGTATCCGTGATGGAGATTCTGCACGGAGAAGCCGCGATGACTCTCCGCGCCGCTTTCGTTCGTCGGGAAGAGCTTCACGCTTGCCCCGGAAGCGTGCGCCGTGGCCGCTTTCAAGTTGGAGTCCGACATAGACGACATATTCGAATTCCGCTGCTGACAGACGATGTTATTGCGACGCATCGCTTCGTTGAAGTCCTTGGCGTCCGCCACGGGAGTGTCGGTGTTCAGCATCGGGTCCGACAGCGCGTTCAGCTGGAGGAACTTGCGGCTGCCGTGCGCCCCGTCGCTCTTCAGGTTCTGATAAGAGATGAACTTGGGCTCGCAGATCAGCGGGAAGTTTTTGCCGTGCATCCGCTTGTGATTCAGTCGTCGAAGATGCCGGATCTTGTTGAAGGTCGGGTCGAGCAGGTACTTGAGATTCTTGATCTTGTCGATGTTATGATTTGAGTCGATCACGTGGTTGCGATCGATGATGTACTTCGGGTCGAGCATCTTCGTCAGATCGTGAATGTCCTCCTCGATTATGTCGACCGGTCGGCTGCTGCAGGACGCGATGTGGTCGATGTCATTCTTTTCAGGAGAGATGTCGACATGCCTGCTTGACACCTCCAAGCACTTTCTACTGGCGCAAAGAACGTTGTGTTGCTTACCAACGGCGAAGCAATCCTCCACGGGCGGATGTCGGCTGTCGTTGCTATCGTTGTTCACCTCGGCTAGCTCGAGATTCGTGTTGGTTCCGCGTCGCGTCGGCGAACAGCCGTAACGGCTCGGCATCACGCCGAACAGAGCGATCAGATCTTCGGCGATTTTCCCGGCGGCGACGCGCATCTCGCCGTGATGGAACGCGTAGATCCAGGGGTTCGCGCTGCTGTGCGCGAGGATCGGCAGGCCCAGCCACACCACCGCCCATTCCGACAGGATGTTGGTGCCGCAGAAAATATCCACCAGCATGCAAGTCTGAAAAGTGAGACGAGCTCGTTCGGCATAATCGTTATCGATCTGCAGCCGCTATGAGGTCACGACCGCGGCAAAAAGGATTTTTGCAATAAAGTTGCTGAAAGACATCGATTTCCGAAGAAACATTTGAAGCGTGAAAGCCGATACGACCGCCGGCGCACCCTTTGAAGTCTCCCTTACCCCGAGTATGAAAATCATTTCACGATGCATCGCGTGTCCTTTTTGAGCGTAGCGAGCTTCTAAAAGCGGAACATAAAGATCGTTTCGTCCCCGCGCCGCGCGAGTTGAATTTATTTTAACGTAGCCCGAGGCCGCGCGCAAGTTTCCCTCAATGTGCCGGCGAAACTCGTGACGTGATAAACGATTTCTTTCTGCGATTCGATCTGTACTCTCAATTAAATTGTGCCAATTTATCTAAAAGTTTTCGCGTTAAGGACGAACTCGGTATATTCAACTTTGGAAATGTTACGCAATTGTTTTGCCGCTTGGTTTTTTTAACGACGTAGCGCACGTAAAAAGTAACAAAAGGAACGAGATTAAAGTGCCGCGAAGCGGCAACGCGCTCTTTTCTCATTTTTCACAGCTCCTAAGCATCTTTCTGTCACGTCTTGGCTTCTGTAATTTTGCAAGTTACGCCGTTCCTCCCGTCGTTCCGCAAAACTTTCGCTCGCTTATGACAAGCCGAGACAAGCCGAGACAAGTCGGGGTTGAGGAAGAAACTTTTTGTTATCGTATCTCGAGATACGTATATCGAGAGCTGCCTGCTTTCAGAATCGATCAATTTGGCTCGCAGATAATCCGATGTATCAACATCAAACTCTTCTCGTTGTCAGCAAATTATGAAAAACTTCACGCATGATATTATTAATCTTTCATCGCGCGCATTTCTTCTGGCTCGTCCCCGGCGAGGATATTGACCGAGCCGGGTATGCTATAAATATCGGCCGGTTTTCCATCTTAATTTAAGTTTTTCGCTCTAGCGGGTCGTCGTATCGACGCGCGTTCCCGATATGAAGATGCGGAAAATATCCCACCGCGATCTTGCAATCAACCGACGCAAACAAATTTTATGCGAAATGATAAGCGTGTTTATGGCGCGTAATAAACGCTCACAGAAACTGATCCTCTTAGCCGGTTCATACGCGTGTGGCCGATTTAACTGGCGGAGATAATATAGGCGGTAAAAAGTGCACGGGCTATAGTAGCGCAAATCGTGTCCGAGAGTAAACAAGTCATTACCTCCCGTGTCCCGAGGTAATCGTCCGTAACCGAGATGAACGTCAGAGCGACGTTCGGACGCGAGGCGGAATTTCATAAGCGGCGTAAAGCGACGAAGTCGAAGGGAGGGAGTAAAAGACCGAAATGAACGGAGCCGACAGATCCATACGCGCGTGTTTCGTCACCGAGGAAGAGATTAAAAACTTTAGGTGACAAGTTAATGCATGCGTTAGATCCGATGCGGAAAGAAAAAAAAAATAACCGTATGACAAGTTAATTCGTACGTCGGATACGAGGCTTCTCGACATTCATATTCGGTTTATTCCCGTTCCTGCTATCGCGGTTATTTTATCCCCGACATTATTACTGTCGTCACGTATACGTGCATCAAATATACAAGCTCGGCTCGTCATATAACGCCTTATGAACACTATATCAGACTTAAATCTCGCCGCCGGTGTACAGGCGAATGGCGCGACGGCAGCAAAATGAAATTGATGTCACGCGTCCGACGCGACGTCTAAATGGTGACAGGACTTCAATGGTCAGACACGGCGCAACGCGGAAATTCCGCCGCCGGGTTCTCGCAGTTTGCCGACGATTTTGCGCAGCGGTGGATTATAAATCTTTCTGCGGCGACGGAGAATTTGTTTACGGTTTTGTGCGGCATGTACTCACTTGGAAGGGCAGCCAAAGGATGAGAAACGCGCCGACCGTGACTGCCAGTGTCTGTCCGTAACGGGGCAGCGCCAACGTCTGCGTTTGATGTCTGAACGATAACTCCACCGTGTAAATCGCGCGTGCATGGGCACGTGCGACGAGATAAACGTACATATAGCAGCCGAGCAGTACCAAAGCGCTCGGTGCCCAAACTGCCACGACCAGGAACACTCTGACCGGCGGTAGCACGGCCGCGTCGAATCTGCAGCTACCGCTGCAAGATAAATTTAAAAACAATATTCAGTTTGTGTGCGAAAAATAAAACCCGAAATTGACGTTTTTTTTATACATCAAATGTAAATGTTTTTTTCTTTTTTTAGTTTTTATTAAATAGGATTATATTAAATTTTATAGAATATTTTTAGAGACAGAGGTACACACCGGCGTATTTTTTTTTATTTTCAAAAATATAACACGTGCACGTGGAGCAAAAAAAATTGATATCCTATGAATATTGTACATTGTACAATGTTTAATATGCGACGACGGTAGTCGGATTGAGAGTGAGATCGATTGAAGGCTCCCCCCCGGCTCTGATTGTGCGGAAGTACGTGAGGGTGAAAGAATCTCCTTGTCGCCACTTTGTAGTTTACGTTTTAGCGCGTCGCTTGATCGTGCACAATCGGTAGTACGGCGAGCTTATGAGGTGAGAAGCTTTCCCGCCTCGCCAGGTGGTGCAAGCAATATACCGTAAAGCTAATAACGCTGCAAATCTCGGTAAGCAACGGTAATTCGACACCCCGCGTGTTTTTACGTCACGCTTGCGATTGCGTCAGAGAGAACTGATTACTGCAGCGCGATCGCCTCGTGTTTACATCGACCTCATGCTGAAAACTTGTTAAATATCGATCTAATTGCGTCCGTTTTCCAAGAATTATAACGCTTAATGCAGCATCGGACGCTTATAAATAGAAAAATGCGAGCAAGAATATCTTTCCTTTGAATTATGCTTTGAAACTTACTTTTCATGTAAACATAAAAATAGAAAAATGGGATAGCGAGATGAGTTTTCTTGATTCATTACTAATGTAGAGTATAAAAAAATTATATTATTCAATCAGATTTAATTATTTCTTAGTAAAATTAATAAAATTAATTTTCTATATATAATTGTCTTTCAAATTCTTACGGCTTTGAGAACAAAAATTAAAATTTTTATAGTCACGTGAAATTAACATTAAGGTGCTACTATGCTGCAATTAGCAATTCATGGTACAAACAAAACGACGTTAAACTCTTTGATATTAAAGGGTTGAAAAATGGAGATTAGATAATGGAGCGTTAAAAGACAGATGAGACTGAGTAAAGCTCAAGTCGGTCTTATTTTCACAGCAAGGTACATCCTTACATCCGTACAGCATTGTATATGCAGCGCACAATTGCATTTATTTGGATTTTTGTTCTTATGTCATCTGCATGATGTATCCACTCTTTTCGAGATGCCACGTGTCGCGGAATAATACGATACATTTAGATTATGTAGGTGTTTTCTGATAGAACTATAATAGAGTTTCTCTCGCAACGCTATTCACATAATGTATTGCTTTAGAACTTTGTTCAACGATACGGCGAGTGTCTGTTAAACGAAGGATTATTTTGTTTTAACTTTAATTAACAAAACGGATGAATTTAATCGAATCCTTTGAGTAAGCCGAGTTGAATTCATCATTTCATGTATGAAATCGTTTGTGTGAACTTCCACCGTCGCAGTTATCGTTTGCGATCGCTCCGCGTCAATAATGTACCGCACGTGCAACTCTTCTTTCCTATGTAAGGAAAGTTCCCATTACGGTCGTTCTTTTCCCTTTTGCAGAGAGGTGTGTAAATATATAGAATACTACTGTGTGATTTCTTTTGTAACGTTTTAACTGCACTGCGCGAAATTATGCAATCTACCTTCTTTATTCCTATTCATCTTCGATTGCACAATTGATGCCACAATTAGGGTGTTTAAAATGCGGAAGATCGTGTTTCAGAGAAATAATCGCGAGTAAATATAACGATATTTACTCTATTTTAATTCGAATATCATGAAATATTTTTGATACTGATGCGTCATTAATATAAGAAACATTTGAGTATACAAGCTCGTCTTATTACAGTCATTTGTTATTTAGGATCAACTCCGGAAAGTTTATAATTTAATGCTCAGTGAATAATTGAATGCAGCTGGTATTTGTATCTGTATAAATATGGTTATTCATGATAGCGTAGGATGTGATACAGAATTGTATAGCCATTTATTCTTTTCTTTGTTTATGGAACGTGACTAGAAGATAATTCGGTTTTAGCCATTTTGCCGCTGGCGTTTTGTTTGCAAGTTACGATTTTTCCATTCGTGCGGGATGAGATTAAAATAGAATTCGATGGGTAAAGTTAAATTTTTTGCCAGGTATAAATGCCAGGAATAATTCCGGGAGAAAATTAATTAATTTCATGTGAAGTGCTTTGAAACAAAATAATACAAAAATTTCGTATCAATTACATATGTTGCTTTATGTTTTTTTTGTGGAAATTTTTAAATAGAAAAAGTAAAAAATGGAAAAAAGATTGGGAGAAATGATTTTTACATTATTCTACTGAAATTTAACGCAGGTAGTTTTTCTTCGAAGATTGACGATTCCGAAATTGCAAGTCTCCCGCGGTACCTATGTTCCCCAGAGTTTTGCCTGAATAACAAATTTACCCGGGATTTATGTGGAAATATATTACCCGTTAAATAATAGATATATCTGTGGGTGTAATACTGCAAGAAAAATACCGCTATTCACCAAATAAATTGTACATTGCGCTTCTCTCTGATGTGTCGCAATCTACGACAGTTCCTTGATATTTTTCAACGGTTTTTTTGGATTATTTTCGGCAAATATGAAATGTATTACCGGAACTACCGTGATGAAAAATACACATTGAACACACATTGAACCTTTACCTGTGCGATTGCTGTACCCTTCCGGTCACTTGAGCGTAGATGAGGGGCGAGAGACCGATGGCGATCGCGTATATCCAGAAGATCGCGATGTACTTTTCTATACTGCTGTGAGTGATGATGTTCTTGTATCTGAGCGGCTGTGCGAGGGAAGTCAAGCGGTCCACCGCAATAGCCACGCTTACCAGCACGCTTACGCTGCAAAGCGCGATTACGACGCAATACGGCACGATGCAAAGGGCGGAGACGCCATTCTCCGGTAAACCGGAGAGCTCCAGCTGCATCCCGAAGGGCATAAACACGCCAACCTGCCAACAAAAGCCGGGACCGCTTGGTTATCGCGGATCTAAATGCGGATCACGCGTGCGCTATCGCGCGGGCAAGTTTGCTCATAAAGCGCGCTCGTGAAGAGACGTCAACTGGCAGTGAGATTGATTAGAGAGCACAGTTTACACTGCATTGTAAAACACCTGTGACTGCTGTATTTTCAACTGTGACCCAAATACAGAAAAACTTGCCAATCTGTCATTGCGAGACGCGTTAGCCCGATGTTAAATGATTAATATTGATAAATTTCTTTTATAGATTTTTTTAAAAGGTTTTTGTATATAAAATTTTTTATCGATTTCAACGTAAAGAAGGGCAATTTTTACAACACTCTCAGAATAATATAGCAAGAGCTCACCCCGAAATCGCTAATGGCCAAGGAGACCAGGAGGCAGTTGGAGGCAGTCCTGAGTCTCTTGTATCTGTAGAAGGCGGCCAGAATGATGGAATTGCCGGTAACGGTGATGGGTGACAGGATGCACACTATGGAGACCGCCAGGACCACTGAGACAGGATTCACGTCTAACCGCGTGTCTATCCTGGTGACAGTGGGAATGAGAGTGGTCGTGAGTTCGCCGGCAACGGTGGTGGACGGCAGCGGCGTGTCCGTGGCGAACGCTGACATTGTCGCTCTCTCAGGGAGGTCCGCACTTTTCCTCGTCTACGCGGCCTTCTTCAGGTCAAGTTCTCCCCGCCGTAGACGCATCCACCTTCGTGCGATGTCATGATGCGAAGTTTTCCAGGCTGCCACGTCGCGTCAGAGGCGCAGACAATTAACGGCGATATCACTCGCTCTTAACTCGTGAATAAACGGCCGGCTTGACGTCGTCGTTTGACGGCTGTAAGTAAACGACGCGTCTCTCTTTATACACTAGCAATTATCTGGCCGGACAACAAAATTTTTCACGCTTGATTTGAGAAACTACGATCGTTAATCTTCGATCGAAGCATTTCAATTATTTGAGAATAATGAGGATTAATGGTGGTATATATTAATATAAAATAATGATATCATAATTTAATGCGCGATTAAAAACTTTTCGTTATCATTATTGTAAAGTTCGAAGTCTATTTATGTCTCCTACAGTTTGCGGCAAGATCAAAGAATATATTGCAAAATAAGGAAATATACTTGGCAAAGAAAATTTTAACAAGTTTTGTACTGTATTACATATTTCGTGAAAAATATCGTCTAGAATAAGAAATAAAAGAAAATAATGAACTGTTTTACGTGGGAGAAAGTAAAATGCAAAAAGTAATTATGGAAATTAAAAAGACCAATTAGAAACGTATTGATGTTATATACATTTTATGCTAAGACACTTTACAGTCTTATTATTGCCACGTGCAAAATCTCATTCCAGGATAAAATTATGAATGTAACGTCGAATAACTTTGTATAGAGTCTTTACGATTTCCCGGCTTCTGAATAAATTCCCGAAAAATTGCAGATTTTAAATAAAATATTCCAAAAGTAGAGTCTTTTAACAACGTGCGTTATGCTTGCGAAAACATTCGAGTTTTGTGCTTTAGATAAATTTTAAGTACGGTTATTCCTGAAATTACAAATTCTTATTTCTTGCTGCTGTGGGCGCTTCGAATTAAAGTAAAAAATTATTTACAGCACGGTATTTACAAAATAATCCGAAAATTAAAATTACAAAATAAATTAACGGTATTTACAATTTACAAATAAGTTCCGTCCGGCGATTCGAAGATAAAATAATCATTCCGCTCCGATGCGGCAATTTTTTATTTATCATAGAATGATTTAGCTTTACTAACCTTCCACGTTGCGATGTATTCCCTGCGGTGTCATCATGACTTCCCAGGTCCGGCAATCCGGAACCCTCTATCTTTTTGGCGAAATTTCCGAGATTTCTGCTTGAATTGCTTGGGCTTAGCTTGAGCAATTAATCCCAAGTGGAAAAAATGCGAAATGTCGTAGCGTTGAATCTCGTGCCTCGTCAGACAGGAACCGGAAATGATTTAACACAGGATACGGTACGTCCTTGACCCTCATTCCACGCTTACTCCACTTAACTCTTCAGTTTTACGGCTCTTCCAACTTTGTCATATCCGCTTGCTTTTCTGAAATGAACACGTATCCGCGCTTTTCATTATCTTTCTTTTGAAAATGAAGCTATTGTAAAGGACTTTAATGTAAAGTAGTATATGTACGTAAAATATTGTAGCGCATGTGTATCTCTCACATATTGTAAGGCTAGTTTCAATGTACAACTTGCATTAAAATCAGGATCTATTTTAATGAAATTTTTATAGTTTCTTTTTTACAAAGATAAGTATTGTTTTCTTATAATTTTTTCAGGATTTTGCGTCATATTGATTTTACGGAAATATCGCTTGCGTTTTAATGAATTTTTTTTCGATTTAAGTAATTAATAATTGCTATATCCGTGACGCAGGGAAGCGATTATTCTTAAGTGGCAATAATAACGATCGTACGTTCTCTCCGAGCATTTCCATTTTTCACAGAAGTTTACGGAAGGAAAAACGCGGAGAACGCACTAATTCCATATGCATAAGAACCGTGAGGTCGCGCGTTATCCACACGTTGATAAGAGCCACTCATTTGCGAACAAAAGACGAGTCCCGCGTCGATGGAGAGATGAGCGATCGTTTAAATTCGTCCGTGCATCAGCCATTATCCTGCATTTGCAATTCGAATGAACCGGAACGCGACGTTAATGCTCGCACGTTGAATGGCGATCAGCATCTGGATCTTGGGTGGATTTTAACGCTATCAAGATCGACTCAAGGCAATTTGCCGGACGACGATCCACGTGGCAGTTCCCGCAACGCGAGAACGTTTAATTAATTTCAAGGTGTCAAGACGTACCTCGGAAATGGCACTTTCTCACGCTTATATTCAATCCCCCGCTATTACGGAGGTACTTTTGAAAGATATAATTAAAACCTACGCTGATATTTTTTATCCTTCCGACGCAATTTTAATTCCTTGAATTAAATATTTATTTCAAGCCGTAACTTTGTATGGTGCGAATAATTCCTGAAGCTTTGACCGGAATTCACTGGATAATTTTCAACTCTTTTTTGCAAAATGTGTGATTACATAATTATTTTCTAAAAATATTACATAAATGTACTAGCAAAAATTATATAATATGTTGTATAACATGCGAGTGAATAGAGGCAGAAATCTCGAATATGGGACGTATAGAGGCTCGATTGTGATTATAACGACCAATTGATCTAATTGGGGATATCAATGCTGTTGCTATTATCTAACAGAATAATCGGGTTACATGAATAGTTAATCTTTTTGTAATCTAGCAATCGAACATATTATGGTCCACTTTCAAACCTCGTAATGATAAAATTGTACAAAAGAATTGTGCCAAAGAAATGTAATTTCAGTGAGCGTTTGATTTTATGACGATTTCTATAGCATTAAATGCAATCGATATTGCAGACTTTCACTTTTTCCGCATCAAAAGTAATAAAACCACATGGATATAACAGTCGCTTCATATTGAGAAAACAATTGGTTTTATTGTCGATAAATATGATCCATTATAGCTTGAAATATCTTTTTGAATTTGTGCTCTACTTTTATTTATAACGAAACAATCTGAGTGATTTAAAACTCGCGATCGTTTCACGATCAAACTCACGCGAGGATATTGAAATTATGGTCTCATGTGGGATAAATTAAAACAAACTGAAATCGATTTTTCATAAAAAAAAAGTATACATTTTACAATTTTCTAGAGTAAACAAACTAAACGCTCACATGAAATATTCAACGTTTTTTTTTAATTTTGTAACTGTATTGAAGAAATTTAATCAAAAAGACATTATCTTAATATGAATAATGTTCCTTAGACGTTATATATGTGGAGCACTAACTTTTCAAACTGATTTCGAAGAAGATTATGTACGCTCTTTTAATCTCAACTTAAGGCTCGAACTTCTGACTAAGTTTCTGCTAAGTTGTTTGCTGTCTACAGTGCAATATTTTCGATCCGTTGCCCACAGTTGACCTATAATGCATAAATGGTATCTTGCAACGATGCTTCCGGTTCATTTCCATTCGTGATTTTGGTTTAGGTATTGCGCCAATGGAGCGAATCGCATTGATCGTATCGCGTTTATAAATCCGGATAAGCCAGTCGAGGGAAATAGGTAATCCGTCGTAACTGTTACTGAACGCTCGATTGGTTTTTTTGCATTCTGTCAACCGATAAATATCGAAAATGTAGCAATGCGCGAAGATTGCTTAACTGGAAAACTGATCGCTTCGGTTATTTGTTACGCTGCCTGTAATTGAAATATTTATAAATAGATTTTATGGAATGTTGTTATAAATAGACGTTTCCGCGGAAAAATTTATTACAGCAATCGTGAAATATTGAAGTATTGATTATTGTTCTGCGATAGAGGATTTTATCTCCTATTTGCAGCTTACCGTCATTACCTCAATATCGCATGAGACGAGAGTGACCACCCCCTCAATTCCGCTTTTGTTGCCAATGCGATCGACGCAGCAATCGATTATCCGACCGAGCGAGTCGCGAAGGGTAGCATGAATAAATCGCGGTAAAGAAAATTTCCATCATCTTGGGGTAAATTCCGTGTACGTCGAGTAATAAGATTGACGCAATGCGAGCAGTCCCCTACTCTCTCTCTCTCTCTCTCTCTCTCTCTCTCTTTATACGATAATAAATAAAACTTAAGCTAATCTCTTTAATGCATTTAACTGTCATGAAAGAAAGACACGTCTTCTTTAATGTGCTTGCCTATCTGAAGTATTTTAGATCACCAAAAGCTATTGCTCTCATTTTTCCACATCAACGTCGGGTATGAAAAACGCGAAAAAGGATGAAACACTCGTGGGGATTCCTCTTTCTTTAAGACGCAGGAACTCGTTTTTTAGTATCCGCTTTTTCTCCAGTCACGAGGATTTCTATTAAAGCAGTAGGTTGTGTGTATTACGTGACATGAGGCGGTACTCCCGCTATTGAAAACGTATCGCAAACGATAAAAATCTGGAGAGTCGTTCTTCTTGCATTCTGCACCGCTCAATTGTATGAAGTGCGAGACGAAGACCTTGTTACATATCGATTTTGTCATGAAGAACAGGGACAGGCTAACGGCAATATATATAATCCATCCTCATATTTTCATTACATTTTTTTTAATTGAATGATAAAATTTGTGCAGATATTATTCGCGAACGATCGTGATGTATATAAAATGCTGTCAAACATCGCAAAGTCAAAACATTTGTTTACTAAAGTGAGAAAATTCACTTTTACGACTTTATGCGTTGGAGCAGCATACTTTACTGTTGAAAATTAGAGAGCGGAATTTCATTGAAGATAAAAGTTGTTTTGTATGCGAAAAGCGACAGCGTTGACGGCAGTAGAGAGAATCTCAGAGAAGCGCACTTTAGGCGCCCTTTTCTGTCAACATTAATTGGAAACTCGTGGAAACAATGCCAGAACGTTTTCCGGCAAGTGTTCCGTGCATGGAAGCTGAAGTCAATCATCGGAACGGAAAACAAATTGCGTTACACAGCAGCGTTGAGTGACGCAAGATGCGTCAAATTTCGGCATGTCTCGTCATCGTGTAGCCCCGCATGTGTGTCGAAGCCGCAATGGATAATCGTTTCGATTTCCAATAGAGGTCGACGGGTCGCCCCGCCGGTCGGATAATCAACTCAGGAATTGGATGTCCAATTGCGAGCGGCAGAGAGAGACGGAGAAACGTGACAAAGACCGCGCTTCTTTTATCCTTGCCCCATGATTTAATTGCGGTTTACGGGATGTCGCTTTAGAAACGGGAAATGTTTCAGTCTGATTGTCTCTGAAACTTTAGCTTTGTATCTTCCGCGATAGATAACCGCGATCGACGAGAAACAATATTGGAGAATAGAGGAATAGCCACGCTTAATTATAACGAAAAAAGGATTCATTAAAGTTCCGCAATACAATAAATATTCATTTTGTATATTTCCGTCTATAATATTCTCTTTGAAACGTAACATTATTTGTCTCTGATGCGGTTTCGATATAATTATCAATTTATTTAGCCATTTGTTTGTTATGCACGCGCATATTCATCTGCACGCTTCTGGTTTTTGGCACGAAATATGTGGAGAGACAAAAAAGCATTTTTTTCACGTTTTATATAATTTGAGAGGTAAATATTCACGCATTAAATGATTGCGAATTGAAGCTGTCGCTCGCGGTCGCAGCTGTAAAACGCGTCTGAGAATTCGTTTGAGCATCTCTTTAGGCGAGCAAGATGATTATCCGGTAAAGCATGAAGTATGTAGATTTTGTTTAATGTATACATGAGTTTTTTTAATAGTAATAGGACGGTTTGAGCGCAAAGGCGCGAAATATTTATTCCGAACGTAGCTCGCTGTCACTTACTATTCCACTCATTGACGGCATGAATATTCCGATTTAGGTTCCATCGAGTCATGCATTGCTAATTGTTTCATTCTTGCGATGTAAATATCGCGGAGATAAAATTCTATCGTTGACATGAGTGCACTGTTCGCTTTTTCTTAAATATCGCGAGTGACTTTACATAATGTAAATGTGTGAAAAATCGACTTATCGATGCATTAAATGAGTGCGATACAACAACGATACTTTCGTTACTCGCATTTACTTTAATTTTTATAAATTTATTGTTTTACACATGTGACAAATTCTAATTTTTTTATTTGTTTTATTTACATACCGAATATCGAAATATGTTTATTTAAATATGTAGTATTTTTTTAGATTATTGTGTGTCAGTTTTTTTCGTTATTTAAAATTGAATAAGTAATGACAAAACTTTTATGGTATTGCGTAAAGCGTGCAGAAGAGACACTCTAAAAGTTCTTTCTGAAGCAAGTTGCGTTTGATATGATTCTATGGTTCGATAATTATAGAGGGGTAAAAATGTCACGAATTTGACCATGACATGATGAAATGACTATTTTAATAACTTATATGAGAAAAGAATGTGGAAAATTGTGCGTATAAGAGGATTTTACCGAAAGTTACGCTAATTGATGCAGATTACGGTTATTCCAATGTGAAAAGCTCGAAATTGCCGAGTGAAAATCATGCCGGCAGAGGAACCTGCAACATATTTTCTCGCACAAATAACTGCGCCAACAATTTCAACCTTTGATAATATGCATAAACAATTTGTATCAAAGAACCGCTTCGTTTATTGCACGAGAAAATTTTCATTGTCATGAAAATAAATATTTCCAACATGCATCACGTGGCAGTGTCATAAAGCAGAGATGTAACTTTTGCTACGTTTGTTATTTTCTTGATGTGTTTGCAGGAATGAGCATGAGGTCAACGTTTATTTGAAAAAAAAAAAAAGATCATCTTTTATCTCGCATGAAAATCGACGATTGCGGAAATTGCAATTGTACAGATCGTATAATTGAGAGAGCTCGATATTCCAGAGTAAAACTTTATATACTTCAAAGGAAAGGAATTAAAAGACGCAATTTATTAAGATACAGAAGATATAAATGTGCCAATATAAATGCGTGTGATCTATTTATCATTGATATTTAATATCGCTATGTTTGATATCCTCCGATATCCTTGATAAGTTCGTAGTGCTTTTGTAAGTGAGTCAGTGTGTGAATTCAGTACTGCTGAATTTCGAGAAGTAATTTCTGGGGTTCGTCGGTATTGACTGAACGTCAACTTCCGGTGTTAATATCCGGTCGAGAAGCGAGCGAGTCCTAATATTACGTGCTGGAATGCGACGTTCCTTGCGTAGAAACAGGAAACTTGCGGACAGGGTGGAATTTAAATAATCAATATTAGTGCAGCGGTGAGAAAAACTTCAAACGTATGGTGTTTTTAACTTAAAACTACAACAAAGAAGAATATGTGACCGGAAGAAGACTTATTTTTCGAAAATTTGATGCAAAAATTTATTGTCACTAAAGATGACGTATAAACATAAATTTTATTAAAGTTTAGTCTCTAAATAGAGATCTAGTTTGATTATTAAAATTAAACACATTATTGCTTTTGTATGAAAAGTAGATCGCTTACAAAACGCATTCTGCAGTCGAAATCCATTAAATCTACATTTTATTTCGGTCGCATTGCTTATCCAACAAATAATGTGTTGTGCATCTGATGAAGCTGTATTTTGTATATTTATTACCATTAATAGTAAAATCGCCACGTAACATGTAAAAAATCTTTATCGTGAATATCAACAATTTGCGAAACGAAATATCCGAGCGATTAATAATTATAAAAAATATTTTATTCTTAATACTGACGTATTATATACAATATTGATATTTATTTTTGTATAACGGCGTAAAAAATTAATTTATATTTCGCGCAAATGGAAATGGTATTACTTTCGGATAATATATTAAAAACTTCAATGTCTAATCCGAACGATAAGCTTGGCGCGACAAACGAAATTAGCACATTTACGATCGCTTTTATTATTTAGAAAACGAGCCAATGAGAAAATTATTAATACTATTCAGCTTGTAGCTCACGTGTAATGCTGCAGGTGATACATCTGCATTCGTAAGCTCGCTATACAAATGAGCTATAAATGCCGACGGGTAGTCGTATGTGCAAAACCAAAACGTGATTGTGTAATTATACAATACTGATGAAAAGCGATTGAACTCTCATAATAATCCCCTATAGCTGAATAGGCTGTTCATGATTAAACGTTTCTGCATTCTATTGTAAACGCTTTACACGCTGGTATACATAAACGGAATGGTGTGTAGAATATAGATATTAGCTTTACGTGAAGGATATTAATAGTAAAATCATATTTGTCATTTGAAAATAATCGCTCATAGTATATTTTATTTCGTATTTTAGTATGAAAATGTTGCAATAATATAATAAGTAATGTAAATTAAAGAAACAATATTAAAATTGAAACTATATGCTACAGAATATTTAACGAGGTAAATTAATCAATCTATAAAACACATAGAAAAATGTAAAATGTATAAGATACAAATTTCGCAAAAATTAAAAAAGTTCTTTTATTCTATTCGGAGGAATGCGTAGGAGGATTAAATTGATTCTGTTCTTCTATTTATTTTTAATTTAAACTTTTAAAAGAAATTTTTTCTTGTAGAACATGCGATCGTGAAAAATGCATAAATTTGCATACTTTTTATCTGATGACTGTATGGTGCATTTTAAGTGCTTTGTATCTGTAAAGCGCATATGAAATTGTTAGAGAGCGTGCTTTATCGCGACAAGCGTGTTTGCTCAAAGAAACTTAAACGTACCGAATGCCGGATATACACGTCGTTTTGCCCGGCAAAATAATCGCTTAAAATAACTATCTTTACATCAGTCGATTTTCGCGCCGCGCTTGAATAAGAAGCGCTTAAGAATTGAGACAGTGAATTAGAAATTTATTTGTTTTGCAATTTAGCTCATTCGTATTTTGAAATCATTATCCTTAGTCAGGCTAAAGAAAAAGAATATTGTTTCAACATTTTCGTCGTTATATCCAGAAGGTAGACGAACTACTGCCGCAGGTGGAACGAGCAACTTCGCAGGAAAAATATTTGTTCGCTTCGTCAAAAAAAAATACAGAAAGACGAAGGTCCTATATGTGGGGATTGTCTTTTGTACGTTTAATTTCGCTTTATCAGAAAGCAAACCTGAGAACGGAAAATATCGAGTATACCTTCGTAATTTCAAACATGCATTATAAAGTGTACTAACTTGAAACGCTCTTTGTTAAGGAAAACAACTAGTACCTAGATTAGTTATACGAATTTATCGCGCAAAGCGTGAATATTTGGTTATTTTTAAAAATGTAATTTGAAAAATAAGAGTAGTTTGTGAAATTTTTAATTAGTTCTGAGAAAAATGTGGGTGGAATAAAACTTTAAAACTAGAGTATATCCGGTGCGGATAAATGTCTTAAGTTTAGTATCTCAAAAGATATACTTTAACAAAATATATATGGCATACTCTTTGCCGTAACATTTAGAAATGTCAACAAAGAACAAACTTTTAGCAAAAATAATAAGCATTGTACTCTCTTCGCGTTTTAAAACTGCTCGTTCTAATGCGGAAAGCTTGAATGCGCTTGTAATAACTGTAATTTTGAACTTCGATTTCCAGATGTGCCTTGGTAAATCTCCACCGGCGAGTTGCGAACAAAGTTGCATACTTCTACAGCTGAGAGAACTTCGATGGACTTCAATGAACTTATGCATACTGAAACTGGCTCACACCACGAGGTAATAATATGGCTTATTAATTCAACTTCTCAGAGACTGCATATAAGCGCAGAAATTGCATGACATTAGCAGCGACGTAACACAATAGATATTGTTGCGACGCGTTATATTAAGATGTGCTGTTAATAGCAGGTTCGAGATATATTTATTTTCTGCAAAGCAATTTAATAGATGCAAAAGAAAGTTTTTTGTGCATTATTTTGTTGATTATTTATGAGAGGCAATAAAAAGCATCCAAATGGAGGCTAAAAGCTGGGTAGCATAATAGAGTTGGAACGTGGTGCAGTACTACCACTGTGGCCGCTAATTGCTAATTAGGAAACGGCAAAGGGCTCTGACAATCGTAATATTGCTCGCACTGAAAACGTTTGAGATAAAAACAGTAAAAGCATAAATAAGTTTTATGTCAAACTTTATGTAAAATTACAAATATAAAAAGCAAACATGTGTTGCTGGCACTTTGCTGACATTATCATTTCGATTAGCGTATAACACATTTGCGAAATCATGTATATTTAAAAAAAATTATTTTATATAGATTTTAGTTGTGGAAAAAAATACTTTTTGTTGTATCGATTGTCAATGATAATTTTCTATTATTTTCATTAAATTATTGTAAAATACCATTTGGCGGTAAACGTCAAAATCACATTGCGAAATTATGGGGTTGGGAAATCAAATTATCGGATTCATTCTCCATCGCTATTCTCTCCCATCCATTCCATTTGACACGTTCATCGTCTCGAGGAATGCCAGCTATTCGGGTCTGTTAATTCGAGAAACTACTATTTGGAAAACAAATTTTGGTCTTGCAATTATTATGCTTTGAGAATGCTTTATTATACTTTGAGAAACATCAAATGAATTATTCCGAATTGAATTTTTCACACAAATATTCAACGTTATTCGTTGTGTTGTAAAACGAACAAGTCGAACTTTCACTCCCACTCTTGAAATCGAGTGGAAAATCAACGTCAGTTCCGAGAACCATGTACATTAATTAATTTGCAATCGATGTATCGATCCTTCTGGAATCTAGCATTCCTGATCTCTCTCACATATCGCGTCTACCGATGTTGCAATTTGCCATACGTTCGACTATATCACGCCGCTCAAGTATAGCTTCTACTCGGGGGAGATTAATTCGTCGGTGCAGCATATTTCCCAAGCGTATCCGGTCCAGTATCGCTTATATATATATATATATATATATGATATCAGCGAGTTCGCGTAGCAATTTTCATTCGATACCAACCGATCGCGGTTCGGTTTCGCACTCATTTCATAAGTAAGTCGTAAGTGAAACTTTTTGCCGATAGTTTAACATTATTCTACGTCTTGTCATCATAACGTTTTGTGAAATAATATAAAATAGGCGCATTTGAACAAAACTTTAATTGTACCTTAAAATTTTACACATTATAAAAAGATTCAATTTTAATTTCGAACTTTGCTTTGTTACAACACTAGAAATTAATTTTACCTGCAAAGTAAACTCACATAGGTACGCGTGGAAATTACAATAAATCTATAATAGTTGGTCGTTCAAATTAAAAACAACGTGGTAAACAAAGTTTAATTATTATCGTTAAATTTCTCGAGAAATTGCGTCAAGAAATTGGCGACAACATGCAGTATGGTGTAACTCATGTACCGCTTTTCCGAAGGTCTGTTACTCGCAATGGAAGTCGAAGGTCAAAAGCAAAGTGAATTAAGTGAGGAGAACTTGAATAATGTATTGCGTTTAAATTACCGCCGAAGGCGCCCGCCGATCTCGGTAAAGATCTTTCCGATAAAAAGCGTCTTTTCTATTAAACCTTCAATCGCGATAGAGATTTGAGGTTTTGCACGTCGGAGTAAAAGCAATTCTTATCAATATATAATTATTTTGTAAATTACCAACTTCATTCTTTTGATCCTTAATGTCAATATATTTTAATGTACTGCATAATTAGTGTTTTAAATTATTACGCAGTAATAACTAGAATAACCATTCGACCATTGCATTATCGGGGCTTAAATGTATCAGCACTTGCGTAATACGATGTAATGCGTGCAAATTTATCATGGGACGATTAAATCTGTATCGGGCCTTATCAGCCCTCTTACAGGCTTTTCATCGGCATTGTTTGCGAGATATACACACTATTGAATATGCGAGCTGCTGAATGGTGTTACGGATGGGGCATTTGATGTTATACATTTGCGTCACCACCATCACGGCGCCACGAAAACACCCACGACCACTATCGCGTTTATTCCACCCTCTCAGGAGTTACATCCCGTGCATAACGACAAAGCGTATTGCAAATAATCGGTCGGTCGAAAATTAACGTCATAGTCGGGATTCGGCCGGCGTTAAATATAGAACATGCGCAATCATCGAGCACACGTAATGCAATAGTGAACCGATAACATCTTCGAAAAACGTGTTTGCACACGTTGACTTGTTAGCTACACGTAAAGAGCCAGAGCGAGTAATTACTCTGCCTGACAAATCAATATACCCATGAATTGTATATTTGTTCGACGTGATATTTGTGATGCGCAGTCAGATACTATTTCGATTGCGGAGCTGCTGCGGCTGCACTCGCATTGCTATACAACTCTTCACATTATTATGAATTTAAAGTATTACAAAAATATCACACATCTGTAAATTGTACTTCTCTTTCTTTTTTTTTCTTTTTTTCTTTCTCGTTTTAACTTTCTGTTAACATAATCTTATATTTTCATGCTTTTAAATTTTACCTCTATTTTTATTTTAACTATTCTGTGAGAAACATTTTTCTAAAATTGTCGGTTTTTTTCTCTCTCTCATTTAATAAGTCTGTTATTTTTTCGTAATATTCCGTATAATAAGGTAATTTATATGAAGAAAGAATTGAAATTTTATACAATTATAAATTTTTATTATAATTTGTACTAATATTAATGCGAAACTAATTGTTATTGCAGAAGTATAATTGATGATGTTGTTTGAAAATGTTTCACATACTACGCGTAATATAAAATGATATAAAATTACTAAATAATTAAGCACATTGTTAATAAATCAGCAAGCATTATTATTCGTCGTAATTCTATTATTAGTTTTACAAACACATACGCATGTCCAATTAAAAGTTAACGCGCTTATAAATACGTCGGTGCATGCGATACGACGCAGCGAGTTATTTTCGAGATAACAATATTGATTGGAGCAAGTTATCCAACAACAAAAATCGTAAAATTACTTCAAATTAATTGAATCGCAAGGTAGTCTTGCGTGATGTAAAAAATTTCATCAAAATACTTGTAAATAAATTTTTGTTAATAAAATTTTGCGGCCTTTGCCGTTCCACGGTGCTCGTTTGCGCGATGCACGTAATGTTCTAGGTCGACGCGGGTCGCCCGCATCGACGATACCTTGAGACCTATTCAAGGACTTTCGCGAGAACATTGAACCTTACACGACCACGCAGGATATCGATTCGCTCAAGACACGTCACCCTCGCACATTCGAATCTATCGAGACAGATATAAATTGCTCGTTTTGCCGCCACTGTTTGCGTAACGCGCCAGAACTAATTGCGAAGAGTGCTAGGCTCTGTGCACGTGACGAGTGTGTATTTTTGCAACTATTGATTTAATTTCAATGCTCGATCCAATTTATGTTTTTGACGAGTGGTTCGGTAACGCAAATATGTTACGATACAACGATGTCGGGCTTAGCGGTGTGTTGGCGGTAGGACTTGTGGTTTCGCGGTTCGCGGCTGCGTTAAAATACACACTCACCGTTCAACTGTTACATGCATTGCGTTTAATTTCAAAAATAAAAATAGATTAAAACCCAAGTGACAAAACCAAGTTTTAATTTAAATAATGCCGCTAGAAAAATTTATTTTTGAAAAATTTATTAAATTTTTTGAGAAAGAATGTTCCGCAGCGCAAATGCATCGAATTATTGTCGCGACTCTGCATCTTCTGATGACACAACTTTTGACTATTTATCCATGCGTTGTTTACGCCCGCAATAGATAATGTATTCCTTGGATCATGCGAAAATTTGTTTGCGTCTACGTTGATAGCACACCATCGTGACTTGCATGAATGAACAGGATCCCGAATATTCGAGCTTTAACAAATTGCTTAGCTTCTCTGTGAAAGGAACCAAGCGCTTCTATGTCAAAATTGATAAATAGACTGTAAAGGTCTCTCCGTTAAAACAGATATACAACTATTGTTTACTTAAATTCTCAACAGACTATAAATTTTTTTCGGAATATAAATTCGGGGTTTTATTACCGAGTTTTGTTAAACTTTAGTATCAAAAAGTTAATTGTGCCGATAGATTTGTAGCTTTCTATGAATGATCTTTTTTAAACAATTAATTTAAAATTTAAAAGAAATGCATCATTAAAATTACAGTTGAAATTCTCGTGTGTCCTGTATGAAAGTTACTCAGTCATTGTCAGGTGCGTTTTGTTGGCCGCTATGTAAGTTGCATGTTACGGCACGTGGAGACAAAGTGTCGCCGCGCGTTGCGACGCGTCGCGCCGCGTCTCCGGCCTTGAACCCGTTGTCCATAAGCTTCCTTTCTAGCTGCTTCCTAGATTTCCCAGAAGGCCACGGTCGCTGACGCTCCTTTTCACTTCGATTGTCCATTTGTGTCGGAGCATCCGAGGAAATGCTGTTTCGTTCCTTTCGTATCATTAGTCTTCCCTCGCGAAGAATACAGATTCCTTTTTCTTTGTTTATATTTTTTATTGTTGCCATTCAGCTGTACACGTTGCTACAATTTAGTTTGAACACATTGCGTGAGCTAAAATGACTCAGCGGGCTACGTCCCAGTAGATTTGCTGGGTTTGATCAAATCGGATTCATTATTTATTTACGGAGCTTCGATCAATGTACATCTATACAACTGGCCCGCCATGAAATAATACGGACATCGTCTTCGTATTTATTGTATAAATTTTTGATCCATAAAACATTCTACATTTATTAATTATAAGCAACAATAATTGCTATTTACGTTACCATTAGTGCATTAATGTAAGTTGCGGCTAAGTAATTAAATAAAAGTAAAATTGAATTTGAGAATATTATTACATCCGCGGAGATGTAATATCTGCTCTCTAAAATGATTTTTAATCTCCTCGCGATTACATTATCCGCGCCACCGAAAAGCTCCGAACGCAATTACGCTTTGCACTAATGCACCTCGCTATAACGATCGTGCGTCGCGGAACACATTATTCGCGTCCACGTGCAACGTTTAATGTTATTTTTAACGTGTGATATTTTTATTCAGAAGATATCCGGAAGATATATGTCCAACACACCGCTGCAATTCGTGGAAACGGATGTGCAGACAGCTGGCAATGTGCCTGCTGCACTTGACCCTGTGCCGGATCACTCGCTCGCGGCTATCACGGTCGCGATCAATTTTTAATTTCCATCGAGTGTATCAATCGATAAACGATCATCCTTGTGAGCAAGCACGCGTGTATACAGAAGCACACAAAAGAAAAAATATATATATGCACATTTTTTTACGCGTAAAAATTTAATAAATTATATTTAAATCGTGGACGTAGTGAAGTATGAATATTATGATTGTAGTATTATAATTAATGTAAACTTTTAATGTAAATCTGTTATCAGAAACATTTAATTATAATAACGCAGTCATTTGGAGTGACTTAGTAATATTATTAATTTGTCACATCGACGAATGCTCTTGTTCGATTACGCAAGTGTTGATTCAGAATGTAAAGAGAAACCGGCTTTGTAGAAATGACAGGCACATATACTAGTACAGATTGTTAATCGTATTAAGGATGACAGGGTCTCGAAAGCTTCCCGAATCACAAAGTAGGACCTTTCTAATAACATTCGTAGCGAGCGTTAATCATGTTATCTATTTTCTTGCTCGGCGGCACTATTGCCGGAACAGTTTAACTGTCGTACTACTGAAAGTCCTCCCCCCTCCCTCCCCCCTCTCTTCCCGCGCAATTAATCTTACGTTACGATTCCGTTCTATTCAATGCAGAATGATTATGTTCTGGCATAGGGGTATATTACCAAGAAGAGCCATGCTCTTCAGCTATTAGGTTTACTGGAAGTTATCTACAAAGTGATTGCCATTAGTTGGATGCTCTTTGATATTAGCTATTAGCTATCATTATTGCAACAAAATGACGAGCAATTTAATTATGTACGAATAAATGGTTACAGGTATACAGTGAGTGGATAAAGCACAATTGGATAGTTTTATAAATCTTCGTGCAGTCTAAACGATTAATTAAAAGCCAATTGCAAATATTGAAAAATACGGAAGCATGAATATGGATGAATCTCAATGAATATAAATATCAGAAAAAAATTTATCGCAATAAATAGTAGCATTGTTTTAATAAAATTACTGATCCATATAAAAGTGAAAACCATTTAAACGATTGTTGCAACGTTTGTAAAACATGAAGATAATTTTACACAATTACGATTTGCTAATTGAGATCACTCTCATGTTATTCTTTCATTTATTAGTATTTTATTAATTTTTCTTTTTTCACTGAAGTCTCTAGTCTAATACAGCGATAAATATCGGGAAAGTTATCAGTCCATTGTGAAATGTTTGTGAAAAGAAGTTCCTACAAAGTTCATATGTACATATATCTGGACATTTGTCCGTGAAAACTTTTACCGACCTTCGACAATTTCTTTGTTTGTATTACAACCATTTTTTGTTCGTCACTACACAAGTTTCACAATTTTAAACTCGCAATTTCTTCGCATAGCGGAAGATTTATGAGTTTTTTTATCTGAAACATACAGATTATCTACATGTATAGACGTGATTTTCCGCCGAGTTTCAATCTCATAACCGTTTTGCAATTTTATTTGACGAGGGAGACTCCTGCGAAGCGCTTTCGACTGTTCACTTCCTCCGTCAATATTCGATGTTATCCAGGAGAATATATATTGTCTCGATATAACGCTTTTCCTGAACTTTCTAGAGTCGAATGCAAGGCACACTTCACGTGCTGCGAGAATCCAGCGGAATATGTTGCAATTTCTGCATTATATATTTCTATCGTATTGCTCTTTGTGATACACGCTGCGAACGAGTATCGGAAATTATTTCTTCGGAACGAGCTCGTGGACGACGCGAAGGTGATTTTCTCTCGCACGGACAACACGGCGGTGCATCTGTTCAACAACAGAAATTGCATCAGCGTGATGTACTATGAGTGGCGGTCGTCTCGAGAACGAGATCATATACAAATGTTTATGGAGAATCGGACAGTTCTCGTCAGAAACCGTTGCCGATCAAGAAGCACGATCAGCTACGTTTTATTACGCCAGCAAAACGTTTGCATACTCTTGCCGGGAATTGTTGAAGAAAGGGCACGAATTTGCATATCATGTGATATCTGTTCGTGAGCACTGCGGCGGAGAAAGCGGTAATCTGCGACACGAGAATTTCTGCGACGTAGCTGCTCGGATAGTCAAATGTTTGCAATGTTGGCAAATTGACAACGAATTTAATCAAATTGACAGTAGATTTTAATCAAATTCTGATCAAATTTGCTGTCAATCTGCCAACATTTCTAATATTTTGCTTATTGAGTTTTGTAGCGCTGAACACGAATTGATTCGATTCGCGGTATGATCGAAGTACCTGTAGCGAAAGAGGAAGCTATTACTTTAAAGTTTGTCAACTATTGTTCACCGTCCGGAGACAATTTGGACTAGATTGTACTGATTGTCCAACCTTCAATTTTTATCGATTTGTGCGGAACAGCGTAGTGCATACACCACTCTATGGCGCCGAAGAGATCAGTTCTGGCGCGAGGAGAGTAGATTGAAATCATCAGATAAAAAGCTATTTTAAATAAGAATCAATTAAAAAAACTTAATAAAACGTAAGAGGGAATCCGCTCTTTTCGATTTGGAGAACTTATTGTCAGCGATTTCCATCTGACTTAGATATAAGCTAGATTTTGAAGAGAGAATATTTTATTCTTTTGATAAATTCGTGGAACAAAACAAATACAACAAAACGCGTATGAGAGCGAACGTGAGGAGACGTAAAGCCTATGTAAAGGAAGATACACGCTTTATATAGATAATCTGGAGTCTTTGCCATCTAATCAGGTATCAGCAGCATATTTTGAAATTTCGCACGCACCAATGTCACAAAAAATGTACGCGAGTCGGTAACTTTTTATATTTTATTATAATTTATTCTGGAAAAGTCACCTTATATCACAGAAAGTTTGCTTACCAAAGTATTAAATTATGACATAAATTAGAATCAATAAATATTCTGAAAAACGTAAAATGTTAAAATGTTTTCAACGCAAGATCCTTATAAAATAACGAAACAAGTTTTAAAAGTTTGTTCGGGTTATTGAAATTCAAATTTAATATTTTATAATAATTCTGATATTGTTAATTTTTTTATCTTACACTACGCCAAAAAATCGTGTGGCTTTTTTCCTTTAATTAGTACTTCAATGAAAATTCTAAGCTTACTTCTATTGTAGGAACGGTTGGTTACCAACCGATGGGGAATATGTTAATTAATCGCTCTACATTCTTTTACAGCATGGACGGTTACTTGAGGTAGTCGAAAGCCACTGAAAATTAATTAACAGCGAACTGGACAGAGTAATCGGTTTATCGCCGGAGAATTTGCAAGCTTTTGAGGGTTTGGAGATCGTGTATTGGCACAGGAATCGATCGCTGATGTTCGCTGTTCAAGTGCGTCGTGACTGCGTGATATTGCATTTGTTAACGCCGTTTTATTATACAGTTTGGATGTGCGTGATCATCATGCTGGCCACGTACGTTTCGTCTATACGCACTCGGGAAGTTGTTTGACATAGGAATCAGAGAGCGACTGAATCCCCTGCTGATCTATGAGATCAGGTTGGTGTAAAACATCACGTTCTTGCGTGAAAAAACGTCACTGCGTGCTATTCTGGTACTGTGAATGATCTTCTCTGAATCTGGGCATCATCTATAACAACATTTTCACGAGTTTCCTCGCGGATTTGGATATAGAGGATTTAGCGAAGGATTTGAAGGAAGTACCAAATTTCGGTATGTCTCTCGTCAGTTCTCACACTGTACAGAGTTCCCTGAATGATTTTGACAATCCTATTATCGTAGATTTGCGCGATAAATAATATATAGCGTGATAGTTGAAATTTCTAGATTATACTAAACCCATTAAATAAATATTATAATTACTCAAATTAATAAGCCAGATATATTGAAACAAAGCTCTATTTTGTTATGAAATTAAGATCAATCCTAAGCTTAACAATAATTTAAAGTACTCACAGAAAGATAATTTTGGCGTGTTAAACTGCGTTGAATTTTGTACACTTGAAGATTTAATTATATTCCGTTTCTCATTTCAATTTAATAATAAAATATGAATTTATCTTAATAGATACAAAATTACGAAACGAGTGGATGAAAAATGTTTGAACGAGATATTGTCAAAGGATAACACAATGGAAGATCGAACAGATTACCGTGGATGGAATAAACCAGAATGGACAGGAAGCTACGCGTATACACGCTGCCGGAGCATCAATATATCCTGTTTTACTTTATGCGAGAGTGGAACACCCTTGCCGCGTACCCTTTGAGCGCATCGTTATGGAATATCGTCAATCAGGATTGCTTCATAAGTGGGTCAAGTATTATATGGACGACAGGACAAGCAGATTGCTACTTCTCACGAAAAGAGCACAAGATGACGGCGGCATACTTGATCACAGGATACTTCGGATTCGTTTTCAATTTTTTTTTTAAGCAATCAGCATTGTGGTTTTTCCGATCGAGTTATCTAAACTTTGCAAGATGCAGCAGCAACTTAAGATACGACGGCCAACAATTCCGCAAGGATAATCGGGTAAGTGACTTTTACGTTTTGCATGTCGTCTTTTAAAGGTTAATAAGGTGATATGAAGCTTGTCGACATTTACGCCTGAGTCACTTCTCCCTTGCCTCATAAATTCTTACTCGAATTGATGAGATAAACAGTATAGTTTTTACATGTATTTTGAATGTGAGACCGTTTATAAAATATTATTTTTGACGTTGATTTTCTGGTTAAAAAGCAATAGAAATTTTTAAATGTGATTCGGACGTGATGACACGCGAAATAATTTTCCCATTATACTTTGAGCACATGCGAATTGTGCGCGCACGTCGTCACGAAGCATGTCTCGTTAAACTTTATGTCCCTTCTGGTCATCACGAAGTTGTATTGCGAACCCGTTGAACGAAAAGAGAGCAGTAATACAAACTGCCTTTAGTCTTTAAATTTCAAAGATGTTGTAATCTTCCGTTGAAATTTTTACTTACTCTGCATACTAAAGACTTTAGTTTATGTGGCTTATTTATTCTGTAATAACATAACTTTGTTATTTAACTCGATTGTAATTTGCCTCTATTAAAAGTTTACTTATAATAATAAACTTTCTAAAATTACTTCTATTGTAATCATATTTAGTGGAAGTAATCGTATTTAATAATGTGAATTTTAATGAAATAAAAGAGAATATCTAGAGAGCGTACAAAACTTTCCTTCGTAGCGCATATATTCGAAGGTATTGTTCGATTTAATTTGCATATTGCAGCTACAAAATGAAGATTTCTCGCCGCAAGGGACGTGTTAAATTCTAATTAGGAGCAACTTCGCTACAACAGAATATTAATACAGTTTTCGTGACTCTCTCGAAATTTCACGTAAAAAATGCCGCAAAATTTGTTACAGACTTAAATGAGTCAATAAATTCTCATTTCAAAAGACTTTCGCGCTATGGTCGTTTGTTTCGTCTGATTTATGACTTGTATAAATAAATGCCCCACCTATCGAGAGCTACTGTACTTAACTTTACGACATAAGTGAGTTAGACAGGCTCGTGGCGATATTGCACAGGCAATACTGCATAGATCTCAGAATATCAGAGAGTCGCCGTATGTTTATTTATCGTGCATACTTCACATGCCGTAATGTGAAGAGTCTAGACGGTTTTCCACCCACGTAACTTACTCGCTGTTTCAAATACGCTTCGAAATCAAATGCGAAGGCAAACACTCGTTTCGAAGGAAGTAAAGTGCAGCAGTCTTATAAGTATTCTCTTTGAGTTACGCTATATATGCAACTACTTTTATCTCTACTTTCGAGATCATCAGATTTAAAAATATCTCCGCAATAAGGATTAGTGTACCGTGTGTGCCGTCGTTCACGTATAATTACTGCTTGAAAGGATAATATTCATTCTTTATTCATATATTCAATTCTTTATTCATATACAGTGCTCGCAACGCGACCGCTCATTAGTTAAAAAAGCACCATCAAGGTAATTTGATATCACGATGTCCTTACAGTAAAATGTCATGTATGTGACGATCCCTCGAGGATAGCGCTTGCTGATGCTCTTTTGTAATGTATATTGTGACGTTTCAAGTCGCCGTCGCGATGAAAGAACGCTGATAACAATGAATTAATTAAATCGGGACTTAGTCAATCCACTTTATTCGGGGTACGTAAGTCTTCTTTAGCTGATCTTATAAAATATGCGCCTGCTACCATACAAAGCCGTTTTTCCGAAGATACGGAGTTATCACGTAGGCGACAGAATAGATGAATGGAGATAGCGATGACATCGAAAACGAAGTTATAAGAAAAGGTGCAAGAACGCAGACACGATGAATCGATTACTTCTTCTCTCTTTTTGTGTTACATCGAATTCCGGCTCGTCACGTCGCGTCGTACAGAAATACTTCTCTTGAATGGTCGGAGAAATTCAAAGCTTTAACTGTTCTATATAGCTGCAGGTCGACGCTAGGGAAATCTGCCTTATCAAGGAGAGTTTATCGTTTTTAGCAATTCCCGAGTTATATTATGTCTCACAAACTGATGACGAGATTTGGTTTTATTAGAAACATTTCTTTTCTTAGCGTAATCTACAGATCTAGCAGAGAGAGTTCGAATTATTCTTCGCCACTTGGAAATTTAATCGTATTCGTAATTTTGATTAATTTTTTAGAAGGGAATTTGTTATAATTTGTAATAAATAAAAATGCAATTTGAAATAATAAACTTTTTCTGAGAAAGAAAAATTATATGCAATATTTAATTAATACGACAACGAGAAATGAGATAGTTATAAATAATATTATAAATAAAAATATATTTAATTATCTATTTAGAGAATCTTAATGTAAATTGTGACAAAGCAATTATAAATTGTTACTTGATTTTTCTATGTAAAAAAAAGTTTTATGATGCATGAGAAACATTGAACCATTTTTTAATATTTTGAGAGGTAGCACAAGAATATTTCCATATCTATAATCGATTATTCATTATTTGACGTCGCAAAATGAATGAGTTTGATAAATCACAAAGCATTAGCTTTAAGTAAACGAGATTGATGATAGGATATATCACCTAATTTTGCTCCGTAATTTGATCGCTTTCCAGCGAAGAGTTTCCGAGGAGTACACATAAACGTGTACTTGACATTACTTTATATCGATCGACGCGACTAGAGATAGAGCCTATGCAGACATCACAGGTGGTGTATCATCATTCAGATAATTACCCGCAATTAACCAATAAACGGTAATATAGTTGACATTGGCGTGCATTCCACTTGATTTTCGAGGTTTCCTAATTTTGCAACACTATATATCACAATTATACTAGCCTACCGTAAAATTGCTTCATTAGTAAATTCAACGCGATAATTAATTTCTAATGCACTATTGATATTGATATTCGATTATGATTATTATCTTTAAAAATACTGTACAGTCAAAGCGATGGTGCAGATTTCGAATATTTAAATGTGGAATAATTACATTTGTTGATTTTTTGAGCGAAAATATTATACATGCTGAAACCAATCTGTAAAATTAAATAATTAATGAAGAATTTGTATTTGCAGAAAAAGGTTTAATTAAATTTTTAACATTCTATTTTGAATTTATATTATTTAATACGACTTTTAAATAAAGTTTAGCAGAAAATCAAGAATAATTCTTTGCAGACAATGCCACTTTTTTCATCTAGCGATCATTCTTAATCCATGATATCACAGTGTTATCAGTACTTTTTTCTCATCATACGCATCAGCAGATCAGATTCCGCTCGATTCGAAATAGTTCATCAAGAAGAGTATTGGTGCGAGCTCCAGAGTAAAGCAAATGATGTATACGTGAACAACGAAGAATTCTCGCCCACGTCATTGAATCTTTACACACAGTATACTTTATTTCTCGTCATCCCGGCGTACGTTTCTCACCGACGCATCCCGTGTAATTTTGTTCCGTTCGTTGCGATGCGCAATTCCGACGTGACTCTAATGACAAGCGGAGATCTAAAGCCTTTTTTATAAATACGAAAATTCCTCACGTAGTTGCTATGATTTATGTGAGTCCGATGAATCAGATGGCGTCACGATGACGTGATTCCGACGGATCCGTATTGATGAAAGTTGGTTGGATGGAAGTAAAAAATTAGTAGATTTAGAAAGGCATTGGAAAACTCACGTCAATCTAATTTCAGGATTCGTGAAAATGTAATTACGTCGAAGACATGTTTACGCGCTTTTTTCTCTTGTTGACAAAATATCTCGGTAAATAGAATTCGTTATTTGCTCAAAAATTTTTTATTTATATTTTGCTCGTTGGATTATAGTATAAAATAATTTAGAGCGGCGTGAGCCAATTTTCCGTAGCAAAAATTATTATCCGATAAATGTCGCAATTGTGCGGCATTCGCAAAATCTCCTGTAGAATGAGTTACGCGCTCCATTCTATTCCACTTATATTTTTGTAGCTCGCGTTTATGCTGCGATAATGGAAGTGGATATACAATTACCGTCCTCCACACATGTCCGTTGCATGCAAGGATAATTAACTTTCTGTATAAAACTGGCATCGTTTGATTTCTGGTAAAATTTGCTGCCGGGAGATGAAATTAATGCGCTCCTGTACAGATTTGTAGCTAATAACGATAATTCATATCTATTTGCTTCGTTAAATTGCGACACTAATTGTTTATAAGATTATCTGATTTTGCACGAATATTTGCATTCGTTGTCTATAATACTATTTGTGATATCATAAACAAATGTTTATAAACAAACTTTTATAATTATTTATTAAAGCAATTTAAGAGATTTGATAATTAAACCTTGAAATTTTATAATATTATATTTTTTTCCAAAGCTTTATCTACATTTTAATTTAGATACATTTGTGCTGTTATCATCATAAGAATAAAATAATGTGATTTTAATGCAAAAATTCTCTTTTTGTATTTTTATTTAGTATTTGTATTTTAGCATATCAGCTTTTTATCGTCATCATTGATTTTCAAATGTCGCGTGGGCATGGCATAAAATATTAACGGCATTAGCCAAATCGACTGTTTTCGGCGAGATCCCCGAATCACGTGCCTTACCGCTTTTTGCTTTTGTCCCTTCATTTTTCATTTCTCCGTTGATGGCGCCTTATCGCCGATCACAAATCGCTTTTTACAAGGCAACAGACATTTATATACCGGCGTCAGTTTCAAAGTGAGTCCAAACTTATCGCACGCAATAAGTTATAAATAACTCGTTACGAGTGTCTTTTATTTATTTGCACGCACAGGCGAATTTCACAATGGTGCCTAACGCGCAATATGGATGCAATTATCCAATTAATTATCCAATTCGCAGCAATCAAATGTCAGCCGCAATTATTAATCAGCGAAATGATCCCAATCAGGCGCGGAATCATTAATCTCGGTGCATTCGATGTCGACGTCCGCGGATTTCTATATTTGTTAGAGAGGGAGATTGTTGAATTTGCATCGGTCAGTTCCAATGGTGCGCTGCACACGTCGACTGT